TTTCGAAATGGGAACGAATTTCGAAATTTCGGCTGACATTTGGTGAGTTAGCTCACCTACTGTAGGTCTAGGTTTTCTCTTAGCTCAGGTATCTTTTGGGAAACTGGGGAGACTGCCTGTGGACAACGGTTGGCGCCAGTTTTATGCAGGCGAAATGTCTGGAATATTTTCTACTCCGACCGACGACGGTGTGATTCATCAAGCAATTTCACCGTGGAGACGAAAAGGAGGAACAGGTTCCTTTTTAGGCCGGAAGGAACACTAGAAGGAAGCGCTGACGGGGGAAACCTAGTCAGTACTGTTCGCCAACTGTAGTGTGTTTATATTTCTCAGCGATAAGCGGGACTTGCTTTACTACTTTGTCAACAGAGGCAAGAGGTTTACGTATTAAATCATGCCAAGTAAAACACTGAAATGATGCACTGCCTAGTAAAAGCAAACGACAACCCAGAAAAATGTACTTAAAAATATCTAGCATTAGATTTTAATTGAGACGAGGTTTGATGCTCAGGTAAACTCGCACAACTGTACATTTAAGGTGGGAGGGCGGTCTCGTTGAAAGTACTTATTTATTAGCTGAAGGGATGCCAGGACTGCTACCTAAACCCCAGAATATTAGTCTACCGAAAGAAATGTCACATCGAGGCGATAAATAAGTTTGCTTAAAAATTAGGTCCTTAGTACCTCAAATTTCCTGTCTTGTTCCAGCTATCTATCAAATCCTTGTTGACACGTTTCCCTAAAGAAATACTCACTAAAGCTCCAAACAAAAAAACAAATTTATTTTGACTCAACCATGAAAAACTCGGTGCTCGGTGGGATTCGAAATCAGGACAGCATGGGGAAGGCTTTAGTACAGCCAGCGCTCTAGCCACCTGAACAACGAGGTCCCACCGGACGACGCGAGCTTAATTACATTTGGGTCAAATTTACCCGCCCAACCTACTGCAACGTCTGGATCAACCACATCTGATACCGTAAGTTGACTGTCCATGCAGGATTTCCTAAGTACTACATCGACAATCCACCAGATGACTACCAGTCTCATGTAACTCATAGGTCTCATGGCAGATTTAAAATAATTCATTTTGGCCCTGCTGTGAAAACTCGGTGCCCTGTCTTTCAAAGCAAATTGTTGACAAATTTCACCTTATGCGGCGCAACGCCGAGGGATAATACTGTTGTCGAGTTATCCGCCCGCTTCAATAACAGAGCAGAACACAATAGAAGAACTTTCAGATGAATAGAACAAAAATAACTTTTGCGTAGTAAAATTGATGTAAGGCTGATGTTGTGATATCGGAAGCACTATAGTACATCATATTTTGCGTAGACCCGCTTCAAAATCTTTGTCTGATGCACTGTCCGAACTAGCCGTGGGGGATGTGGTTCCACCGCTGACGTTGGCCTGCGCGGAATGGCGCTCCTCCACTGAGTTCATCCAGAACTCAGTTGGTCTAAACACCTAGGTGGGAAAAGGCACGTAGGGTGGTTTAGGTGAGGTGAAATCTAGAAAAGTCAGCAGTGAACAAACTTCTCCCTTTTCTTGTATCTAAGTCTTCTTCTGAAGTAGCCATGGGTCAACTGCACTTCCTCCTTGCTCATCTTTAAATCTATTGCGGGGTAACATTCAATCAATAGCTCTCATCTCCACTGGATAGACCTCAAAGCTATGCAGATCCCGTTTGTTGAGACGGGACTGGTTAAACAAGGTCAGCCTAAAATGTAAATGCCCTCTTGCCCATATGGATGCATTTTTGAAGAAGTGGAAGATTCGGATTCAGTGTAAGTAGATGTACTTACCTGACGTGCTAAACTGGTGCTCGAGCTCACTATCAGATATGTACCGCCTTCCTTTTGGACAGCTACACAGGGCATGTTATTCGGGTAAGAGTGGTTGTCTTAGCATTCATCAGCTTATCAGTTCTGGAAAGCATGGTTTTCTTCGCGGTGCCAACTCCGCAATCGTATGTAAGAGAGCAGAGTTAAAAAAGGCGGCCGATGTCCGTCGCACGAAACGGGTATTGTGCTAATCGGTCAGCAGACCTCACACAGAAACGTTCTCCTTGGCAACTGTTTGGCCCTTATAGCTGACGGGATGGTCGTCATGCTTGAAACGATAAATGGCGAGTCTTGCTTTATCCAGTTCAAATTGACCTTTAACATGGAACAAATGCGCACATATTCCGGATTATTAACCGTACACTAAAAGCAAAAGCGGAGCGTAACGATTACTTTTAGGCGCAAAGATGTGATCACGGAGACCGAACGACGCCAAATGAAAACAGCAGATAATGCTCTGACCTGATTCCCTGATTTTCCAGAGGTCTTCAAATCAAATTATAACTGGTTGTTGTCTTAAAGTCAGTCCTACGTATAATTTTGCAAAACGGATGCAATCCAAACAGAAGTTCCTTTAGGGCAATTCGACTGTCTCACTCCGATAGGCCTACAAATTCCTCTTATATGTCCGAGGTCGAAGAATTCGGTTGGAAGAAAGCATGGACTTTCTCGATGTGGCCTCCTTGTTTAAATCCATCCAACCGAATTGGTTGTACGAAGTCATGCGCGATAAACTGGGAGAGGCATACGACGAGACATAGAAACTGTGTAAAATGGAGCACTCAGTCATGCTGGTCGAATTTTTCCAAAAAACCTTCCTCCACTTTGCTGGAAAAACCTGTGGTCAGATCAGGAGTACTCCAGCGGGCTACCCAATATGCAGTCTAACATCAGAACTACTCCTCCGGAAGCTGGTAGAGACTGTCTTCAGCCAGTATAAGCCAAGATTTTGTTGCCATTATGCTGATGACACGTTTGCCACGGTCGAGAAGAGCATGCTGTGGCATTTCGATAATTAGCAAAATACTATCTTCCCCAGTATACAGTTCAAGAGGGACTAACAGCTGCCCCCTTTAATGTACTCGTCGGACGAAATCTCAATAGTGAAATCACCACATGTACTTAACGAGGTTATCACGAACTGATTCGAGTGGTAGGTTCAAAATGAGCAGTTAAATAAGACTATGTGTTATTAAACAGATACCTTGAACATATTTAAATGCCTCAGTATACTGCGCTCACCACAGAGAGTTGTCGCCGGTTTTTGATACTGTGGAAAATAGCTACGCCGGGCATCGGGAGAATCGAAATGAGGGCAACGCACCAACCAAACGCGATTGACCAATCAGGAAAGGGTTGACCGTTTGTGAACTTCGGGGGCGCATAGTCGATGAATAGGGAGATGCAAATGCCCGCGGTGAAGAGGGGAACTAAAACGTACCAACTGGTAAGCCACCAGAATCTGCTCAGCTTATGAAATCCACCCAACATCGACCCAGCGTTCTCCAGCAATCTCCGAGCTCCTATCAAAGGAAAAACAGACGAATTGCAGATGAAGAGTGATAAAGTAGTCCTAAGTAAAGCAGCACTCTTGGGATCGAACAGGAGAGCATGCCGTTTCAAGTTGAATTAACGGCTGGAGTCCCCTTCTTAACATGAAGACTGGGACGCATAAATATCTCTAAGCCAATCCAGAACTATAATACCTCTTACAGGAGACGCGGGATGTTGTTGACGCAAGCGACGAGGTTAGTGAGTAAAAGACAATAGCGAGAGATGTGGTACCAAGGTTCATATATTTGGACATTTGCTGTTAAACTGTCTGCCTGGAAAGGTTAAAAAATGTCTCAACTGTGATGGGAGATATCGAAGGCGAAAAATGACTTGGATAAAGTTGACGGGGTAACCGACAAGAGATGTTTTGACTTCTCAATAGTTTCAGATGAGTGATACACGGCCGTTAACGTACTGACAAAAATGGACGGCTTCAAACCACTAAGAATGTTCATCATCTCTCGGTCTTGTTACCTGAGATCACATGCAGATGTGTGTGATAAACTGGGCTCAATACTGACTCGGAAATTAAATTCGACCGCCATTTGTCCAGGCGCTTTTCTAACTTGCATAGACAACCTCTCGGATAGGAACTCGTGGTGTTTAAAGAAACTCGTAAAAACGCCAGTCTCATCGGCCCAAAAGGCGATATTCGTTTTGGAATTTTCGTTCAGAATATAAAACTTGTTACAGTGAAAAGCAAGAAACTTACGTATACTCTGAGAACCGATTTTCAAGGAAGAAACTTGTTGTATTGAAGGACATGATTTTCTTCTTTTCCATTCTTCATTGACTGAATCTTGGACTCAGCAATTAATTTTGAGAGACTCGGCTGACCGCCTGTTGAGTCCATTAAAAGTCCCCCTTATAACCGTTACAAAGGAGTATATTTTCGACAAAAAATGTTCTCTTAGTTGACATTCACTTCGGTTCTATCGCGTTTGACTGACCAACCACAATGCGCTGACCTTTACAGTGGGCGGTCTAGGGGGCATTTGGACTGTTTTCAGTAGACTCGCATGTCCAGGATCGTCACTTGGATACTCTCCTAGTCTGCCTATCTAACAGTCGAATATGCAATCATTCAAGGGGCTTCTACACCTTAGTTGCCCATAGTTCGCAGACGTTCATATGTGACTGTAGTAGCGTGATCATAGGTGCTTGCAATTTCTTTATTATGATTAAATCGATGCTTTCCCCCCAAGCGCTTTACGAAGAAATCCTGAGGCAGAGTATCAGTTAGTTAGTATCTACCAGCTATATTGCAGATCAATTGTGGGAGCACTTAAGCTGTAAAACAAACTAGCACAACTATGTCCAAAGCAGTGTCCACAAAGGCAACCGACGTAAATCGGTGTGTACTTTTGGAAGCAAGTAACATTTGAGGATTTCTAGTGTTCAATTCTGAAAGATTTATTGGTTGGCATATTGGATTTTCCTGGAAAATTAATCCAGACAAATTACGTGACCAGATTAAACAGTAATCGGGACGATTATATACTTTAGTAGGATATTTGGTGCATGTGTGATAAGAAGGCACGTTAAAATACACCCAATTCGCTCTTTCTTCAGAATTTCACTCACGCTCGAAAATAAGTATTGGACATTATGCTGTAGCTTGATGACAGTTCGGCGAAGCGTCAGAACCAAAGAAGACCAAGTCAATTTGATGAAATAAGCACTCATCACTACACCATTGGTTTTCCTACCTCCAATAGAGTAGAACCTCATTGCGTATTGGTGAAACAGGTCTAACGAAGAGCAAACAAGAAGTGTGTCCGCCTCGAATTAGATTCTTCGAATTTGCCACCAAATTTTCGAAACTCTTGCTGCGATTTAACGCAAACTCAAGGCCTGAGGACTGCAAGGTAAGCATTTTCGTCTATGCAGTTATTAATATATGTATCTTTCGCCTCGTACCGATGAGGACCTTAGGTCTCACGACCAAATGTTAAATGGGTGACTCCGGTCGATGAGTGATGCCCATCTCTAAAGGTCTCAGGAGGCGGGAAACTGCTTCAAAAACGCCATCAGTGTAGGGAAGCGCTCGCCAGGAGGAGAACGAATTCCTCGTACACATTCCATCCTCCAAACAACAGACGTAATCTACTCGGTCCGTTGTAACTCTTTCAAAGCTACTTGCATCGAGGAGACCGAGAAGCAGTTACAAACCCGTAGTAAAGAACACATGCGGGCAGTAAGGAGAATGGATCCATTGTCTCTGGTGACCGAACACTGCCCAGACTCCGGACACACACTTGCCTTCCAGATGCCGAAACCCTGGGTCCGGGAAATTACCGCGTAAAGAGGGAAAAAATATATTCCTGGTACACGGAATCAATGCCCATCAAACGCTGCCTCACCCTTCTACAGCCTTCCAAGCCCCCCAGAGGCAGCTCAACGGACAAAAGTGCAAGAGCGAAGCTGGGCCGAAGGCGAATCCAAACAGGGGAGAACCTACAACGGGCATACACAAGGCCGCACCGCAATGCGGGACTGACGGAGACGCAGCCACCAATGCTGTTGCACCAACAACTACCACAGCAGATGAGGAGGAATCCACGCAGAGGGATGCAAACACCGTTGGAATCGACGATAAAAATATCTTTAAAACAGCCTCTTAACCGCACTCGAGGTTTCAACGATATGCCTGAGAAGGGATTCAAACGGCTCCAGCCGATTCGCAACATAACGAGTCATCATGTTCTATTATAGTTAACTGATGACAGACTCGGGAGCGAAAAAGATATCATCTGACGCGCCAGACGTGCAAACCGAAGAGCGCAGGGCAAACGATACGCTCGGGGTCTACCTTCATAACATCAGTCCACTTAGGCAGTTGGCTACCTCGACACAACCGCGTCAGTCAGTGCAAAGTTCAGGCACAATTTCGCCTTGAAGGCCAATACGGCAAACAATCTACTTTAGTGAGTACGAAGAGTGGATTTAACCAGTTTTGTTTCTGACTGAAAGTACAGTAGTTGCTGAAGCTGCGAGCATTTAGGCCAACTTCGGAAAATTAAACGCAAGTACCATTAGTTCCATACCCCTTGAAGGTGTGTATTTTTGGCCGTAAGAGCTTTTCTTCTTCTACACGAACCAGAACCTGCTGCATCATTGGAGTCATCTAGCAATGCGTGTGGAAGAACTCAGTCTTATCACATAGTTGGAAATATTTGATCGAAAGGAACTTTTGACGGACATCAAAGGCAACATTAATTAAATTAATTTATTTGCTATTCGTGCGGACTCCGCTCCTTGTTCCGTCGTGGTAAGCATGAATCAAGTGGAGTGATTTTGGTGACATGCTAGTAAGTAGTATGACAGACCACAGAGAGGCCTCATGCATGGAGTTAAGACAAAGAAGAGTTCTACAATACAGATATGAAAGCCCCCTGGTATCAATGACAGCGATCAAGGACACGGCGAAGCAAAAATTGCTGCCCATGGTAGCTGTCACCGCATCTTGGTTGTCAGTGCTGGTAGGAGCTGGTGAATTAGAAGAATGGTTCGCCTTCGAAATCCGCTACGGCCTTCTCGTAACTCCAATAGCTAAAACGCTTCTATTCCACATCTGGCCGCGGTTGTGTCTTGAAGAAGGCATGGTTGTACGACACAGATTGCAAAAGAGCAGCTCCTGCACTATCTATCAGTAGGCTCGCTGCAGCAGAAGTCCAATCATTGCACCGACGCGCGTTGTGGCCCAGCACATTACAAAAGATACTCCGGTAAATGTTTCAGCCGGGGCCCCGTCAGTGTCCGTCATCTGCATCAGTACGGCAAAGCAACACGGGAACATACAGCAGCAGCAAAATACTTAAGACAATCAAAGTCGGGCTTCCCTTCAGGTTATGTCATTTCGACGGCACGTGGTCCGAACCATCGGTGAGCCCTAACAAGAGCGCAAGGAGTCATTCTCACCGCCGGTGTCTGTGCTATATGTCATGGGGGAATCAGGTACCTACATGACCCAGCGTTTTCGTATAAGCATGTAGGCGCTTTTATTTCGAGGGTGGTAAAAAGTTTGGAAAAGGGTGGCTAAGTGTTTGCTAGGGAGACGGGAGTAAGTATTCGTAACGCTCATGCGGCTCAAAGCATGGAGTTCAGCAAGACTTTGCGGTTCTCGCGGCGGCATCCCACAGCATGGTGTTCAGTTACTCGCCTAGCGGATACCTCCAATTGTACTGCCTTGGCATTCTGTCTGCAACGATAACCAGATTACGCGCAATATCCGTTTTGAGCGTTAAGGTTTATGCTATGGCGGCTATGTCAAGCGACGCCCCCAACACCCCGGTCCAGTGATGCGGCCGAGCATTGTAAGTGTCTGAATATCCAATCTACGTCCAAAATGTGGTACTGGGTACTTGTGTTTGCAAATGCTCCTCGATCCTTATACCCAAGGTCTGGCAGTGCCCAGTCTTCATTAAAACAATGGAGATGTTTGATGCCTCCTTGGACTCCGAATTCCCCATGCAGATTCTCGTGAAATCAAAATCTAGGGTATCAAATCTTACTTTGCCCTCTGGTCCAGCGGTCCACGCAACTCTTCCGGTAGACACGATGTGGCGATGATTACCTTCGCTAGGCAACTCGATACTTGGTCTGGTTTAGACAAGGTTACATTCTGCTGCCTATCCTGTCTGTCTACGCTGGCAAATGAAATCTTGGAAGAAACGTACAGGATTTTCATAAGGCCGAATTTTCCCTCGGATCCAGCTGACTGACCTCGACTACGCCGACAATGTCATCCTACTAGCGTCAACCTATGCTGACATACAGTGTATAGTGTAGGGAATAAAAGCGATTGCTAAAGCAATCGGTTTATCTGTTAGTGTTAGGAAGGACAAAGTGTTTTCAAGCTCCATGTCTGGCAGGGAAAATACACCCCTCGAAAGCAATGGCCGCCAAGTTGAACAACTGGACGCCTCCTTATTCTCCCGGCGAGGTTGTTGCCAAATGTACAGAGTGACAACAACAGGTCATGGCCTGCAATCTTCTCTCACAGAGGTCAGGCTGCACATTTACCATCCGACTACAGCAGGTGGGTGAACTCATAAAGTGCCAACCGAAATTACGAAATCCATTTTCGTTTCGAAAAGATTTATTTAGTGGCGCCGTTAAACTAATCAGCACGCAGTTTAATTCTATAATAATTCAGTCACCTCAAGATGCCGGCTTTCGGACGAGCTTCTTAGCGGCTGCATGCAAAAATTACACTCCGCAATATATATACTACTACTTAAGTAGTATATATTTACTGATGTATTTTCAATGCCGTTAAAATTCAATTATATTTCATGAAAGGCATGCATAAAAATATTCATTCTTTTGCTCATTCGGTAGAAAATTACGTCTTCTTCCAATTTTATAGTCGAAAGAAGGATATAATCCGGTTTTCAAAAACTTTTCCAATTCCCGAATCATTTTGAACCCGACCTGCTGTGTTACTGAATTCAGCGTTTCAAAACTACGAGCCGTATATTTTCCGCGTAAGGGAAACCATACATTTCTCTACGGTATTTAAAGGAGACTACATGGGGTTCATAAGATTTAGCAGTGGATTTGAGTCATATTGTTAACTTTACAAGCCACGTTGGTAAATGCAGGGGTATGACGCTTTATGAACGGCCATTTCACGGTATTAAAAAATTTCACAATTAGAAACTTTTTAAAACCGAATTATACCCTTCTTTCGCTATAAAATTTAAAGAAGACATAATCTTCTATTAAATGAGCAGGAGAATGAATTGTTTTATACACGTTTTCCATAAAGTATGATTGAATTTTTAAGTGCATCGAAAATCAATCAGAAAAATGCATACTTCTTAATTAGTATGCATTTTTGCAGAGTATAATTTTTTCATGCAGCCGGTAAGAAGTTCGTTGGAAAGCCGGCATCTTGAGGTACCTGAATTATTATAGAATTAAACTGCATGCTGATTGGTTTGACGGCGCCAATAAATTAATCTTTTCGAAACGAAAATGAATTTCGTAATTTCGGTTGGCATTTCATGACTTAACCCACCTACTGTAAGTGACAGCGATCCGGATGCCTGGGTTTCCTCGGACGCCGCAGTGCGACCGGAAATTAATAGTCTACATGAAGTTTGTAGCTCCTCATACGCGCGTATGCCTTCTGGCCCTGACACATACGACATGCTAGGCATCATGTGATCACGGCTTATGGGCGCATGAAAAGTACGCGCATTCAGCCCCCAGGACCGTCAGCTTCGGGCGCTCACCCACCCTGGACTCACTCAATTAACTCCATAAACGAACGCTGGCTGGCTCTCACTTGGGGCGTGGGCTTATTCATGCGAGTTCACATTACACTCGCGAGCGGGTCTCGAATCGGCCGCGCGTCGAGGCCTCCGAACACACTACAGCCTCAGCACTGAATACACACCTCCTTCTAAGCACGAATTCCTCTGATTATTGTGATGGCCAGGGCAGTAGCGTCGAAGTGGTGAGTGTATTCAGAGCATCACAATAATCACGGCCCAATCCCGTTCTGGAGGGGAAGGCGCCAGTAGAAGTTGTGGATTCTGTACACAGCCTTAATGGCGGTCAGAGCCCCGACGCGCGCCTATTCGCCAAGGTGATGTGGGCGTGAATGTGTCATGTGAGAGTCTGTCAGCGTCGGCTTTATAAGTTGATTGGTCGTGGTTTGTGGCCGCCCGTGATTGGCTGTCCTCAAGGCTACGTCCGCCCGGGAGCCGTAATCACATGATTCCCAGCACAGCATCAGTGCCAGGGCTGGAGGGCTCGGACAAGCTTGTGGCGCTTCAAGTTCACCCACTACCAGAGTCGCCACAGTTCACCTTGTTCTCATCGGGGGCAGCCTAAGGAAATAACTGGCGAGGGACCCGAAAAGAGGCTTATATGAATACGTAGAAGTCGCTTCTTTTGGAACCCGACATTAGAAATTCAGTTAATTACACATGTTGGTTCATGATTAAATTAAGGGATTTTGGAAACACTTCTGAATTTCAGTTCCTATTTCAGTGCGTGCTAAACGCGATCTCAATAAATGTTACCGAGAATTATTTTTATTTCGAAAGCTTAGATGCCAGTTTAGAAGTGCCTTGCGAACCCTCCTTGTAGTTACATGACCCCTTTGTTAAAGGTTCTTCCGTTAGTACAAGCATTATTGCACTCTGGAGAGCAGGTCCAACCCCTCGCAAGGAACTCCATTGGTTTGAGATTCTGTCCAAGGCTGGTTAAGGTCTGCCCGGTGAAAATGGCTAGCCAAATCAATTTGGGATGAATTCCCGCGTTTTCTGGCCACGTTTTGTACTTGTCATTAAATAACCATTTCGATAGTCAGCCCGCAGCCCGCGGCGGACCGCGAATTATATGAGTTCGTGTACAATGGGGGAGAATTTAGCGCCGTGGATGCACAGTAGGTGAAATACCTCAAGAAATGTTGGTCGAAAATTTTGAAAGTGTTTCCAACTGGAAAAGATTACTTGGGTGGGGTAATAATACTAAATAGGACGTTGCATAATTCTAAGATTTTTCAGTCGCACTAGAATGCCGATTTTTGCAAGCGCACCTTTTCGGCTCCTTTCGGTAAAGAGTAACTGCATGAATAGTGTTTACTTTTTCCACTGACTTTCGGTGTCCTTATAAATTCAAATATATTTTATGAAAAAGTTATAAAATATCCTTGCCTGTATTTCATTGGTGACAAATTACGTCCCCTTTAAATATGGTACCCAATGAAAGGGTGTCTTTTGGTTTTAAAAAAGTTTGTAATTAGAGATTTCTAGAGATCGTGGGATGTCCATTAAAATAACATCATATCTGTCCGCCCATTCATGTTCCTTAAGAAGTATACAACATGGTACACATCCATTACAAAATTTTACAAGCCTTAGATGTCATCTTCTTAATAACCTGGGGAACATATGGTATTCTCCGCATGGAAGGTGTACAAATTGCAGTCCTAAATGCATACGCAACGGCAGATTATGTTTAACATTATGTGATAATTGAAAACTTAAAATTCCCAGCGATGACCTTCCCTAGAGGACAATGCTTAAAGAAAATGCGATCTGTTACCAAACAAATACAAGGAAGGATATTTTTGAGCGCGTTTTCTACAAAAAATGGAAAATGCAAAAATCATACTACTTAAGTGGTCTCTTTTGGCCATCCGTGGTTGTTTCAGGCGACCAGAAAAAAGGACATTCCAAAGTCGGCATTCTGGTGCGGCTAAAATATCCTGGAATTATGTCACAAGATAATAAGTATTGCAGCTACATCGTGCGTGCGGTGCGGGCTCTCGATCCACGTCGGCAACTGCACCCACTTCCCGCATCAGACTGCCTCAGACAGCGGAGTGGTGCCGGTGAGAGGGAAGAGAGGGCGATGTCGACAGTCTCAACGCACATTTCTAACCATAAAAAGTCTGACGCACTTGAATCCATCACGGTGCGCTAAAAGCTGTGACTTAGAAAGTCGCCAACTGACGGGATAACTTGGTCCTCCCCTCAGGGGACGGAGAGTCAGGCTGCAATGGTTTCTTCTTACTGTGACCTTTATGACCACTCCCACTCAGTTGAAATCCAAGCCTCTCCTTTTTTCTTGTTTTTTAAAATCCTGGTCAGTGTACGTGCTAGACCGGAGGGCTTGGTGACATATCTAGATGCCGGTTTCTGCCGTGCCCGCCACCCGCGCTCTCTTCCGCCCCTGGTCTTCTTGACTCTACCATGACACCGAGTCCAGGTGGGAGAGGAGAGGGTGCGGTAGATACCGCGCACATCTGCCACCACTATAAATGAATGTACGCGCAAATTACCGCCACGGCTTCCACTCTGCTGTGGAGCGCACAGTGGACGACGGTAACGATAGCCGAACTATCACTTTTTATTTTGGTTGTAAAGCCATTATTTGATTAGCTAAGAGATTTGAGCGTACTTCCACGACTTAACATGCGTTCGCCCTAAATTAGTGATCCTCAACGTTAAGGTATATGGGAACATTTCCAACGCATACAAGATGTGGTCACAGCCGAAAATAATGACCTGTTTAATTATTGAGGGAGCTCTCGAGGGTTCACTGACAGTTCAAGTTCGTGCACAACAGTGAACGAGAAATAAGCGGAAGCTAGCAATTTGTCGAACGTAATTTGCTATTACGCTGAGCTGCAACATATAACTTGCATAACACTGTTGAACTTAATATTACTTGGATGCAGAGATTCCATCATTTACTTAACGTAAATAAGGACACAGATGTGTGACACGCGATTGCTTACCATAGACATAGGACAGGCTCACAATCTCCGTCACAGCAATTATGATGATACTGATGGGAGTTGCGTACCAGTCAAGCACCTGGAAGTAATACGATCCGGCCTAGAAAAAGGAAAAGGCGCCTCTTAAGAGATAAAATTTAACACAAAGAATGTTTTGACACTTGCAACGTACTTTCGAGTCGATTTTAGATATTATCTGGTTCACAGTTCCCACGGAGCGCAATCACATGATAACAACTCGCTGTACAACACAAAACCTATTGGCGGCCAAAGTAAGCTTGGAGTTTGCTGAGATGGTGGAGCTTCAGGGAGCTGAGAATGAACTGAAGGGACCGGAGTCCCAGTCACATGAGACTATCGTTAATCGTTTTTTGCCAACTGGCCTGCAGCATACGAGCGATTGCGTTTTACCCTGGAGCTCCGACTTGTAGATGACGCAGCTATTCACATAGTGACAAGTAGTAAGTAGTCGGGGAATTCCTGTTAATAGACATCGCCACGGAACAGAAATAACTGAGGTGGTCAAGTCTGGTGTATGCATCGATAGTAGGCAGTCAGGCCGCCATTTTCCGCCTAAGGTAGTGGCGCATCGGAGGTTTGGACCCCTGGCCCAGTGCGTCATTGAGCATTAAAGTAAAACACTCGTGCCATTTTAATTGTCGAGCTCATGCCCGGATTCGTCCATTATTCGGACAAATTATTGAACGCAACTGTCATGGAACATTACCCACTGCCAGGGGATGAAGTCATAGGTAATTATCGCAAACAAGATACTTCAATATAAAAAGGCAGACTAGGAAGGCACAACGAGTGGAAATCTGCTGGCATGCCATGGCACTTGACGAATGCCGCATGGATTGTTCGTTCAAGCCCACCCAGTTGCCTTCCTGTGGGTAGCGTTTTCACTTTGCCAGGAAGCTGTGATTTTTCCCTTTCAGAATTTCCGCTCTAGGTAAAAAAGGGTTTTCGGCCATATGAGGGTGATGGATCCTCCGATTAAGATGACAATTAGAGTGAAACACTTTCCACTGGCACAGGGGACGAATTTCTGTCGGAGGCTTCATCGGAGAAATGCTTGTGAGGGAAATTATTTGCTTTGGGTCTCAAATATGACTAGATTTGGAGTGATCCTCTGGGACATGAGTTAAGTGAAGGCGTCCAAAACCTTACAGTTGGCTCAGTCAGCCTATTGCAGACTGCAAGAACACATCCAAAATAATCCAAACAGTCTGCAGAAGGCCGGACATGGGAGGCGATTAAAAAGATGAAAACATTTCTAATCTCTATCTGGTGCCAAGAAGTAACTTTGAGAAATCGCCCTCCCCTGACGTCGATACTCTTCATATTTTGTTGAAATATTGGTTGCCTGCTCAAAAGGCACGTCAGAGTTCAGGTTTCCAGCTGGATTTTCATTCGTTTAGAGTTTTTACATTCATTTTTACGCTGCATTTGATTATGTTTAACTGCCGATTCACATCAGCGTTGGACGTTGCATTTTCATAACATGACAAATAAATGAACTGCAGAGATGGCATTCTTCCCCAAGGTGTCTCACATGTGGGTTACGGGCATGAATTCTGCACTACTTTTGTTCTGAGTATTAACTACAGACCTGACGAAAGCTGAAATCTGAGTTGGCTCTCTTCGCCAATCCTCACTCTTTCTCTGTAATTGCCCCAGTGGTTTCTTGTCTGTCATGCCACAATTCAAATGCCGTTCAAGTCAATAAGCGTGGGTTTTATGGCTTGTGCTTTGGTTGCCAGAAGTTTATGCTTAAGAAGATTCTTCACGGCCATTCAGTTGTTAAAGGCCAAACTGTGGTTTCTAAATTAAGCATCTCGTAGTTTCTATAAAATGGCAGGGAACAATAAGCGGAAGGTGACTTACACGGGTGACTAGGATCAGACCCAGAAGAAACTGAGCAGCACAGGTTCCAAGGGTGAAGAGACTCTTGTGCCTACCGAGCACATTGGGAAATTGGTCAATCAGGCCGCTGGTCATCGTTTCCAGAGTACCAAACTGTGGACGCAGGTAAGGAAGCAAGATTACAATTAACCTTTCCACAGGAAGGGCGTTTAAGCACAACATATAGATCCAAAATGAAGAAGGATTGACCTCATCAGATGGCGTAGCACAAGGAACTCCCGCTTTCGAGGTACAGTCAAGTTTCGATTGAGGCTAAATAAAGTCGTCAATGGAAAACAGTTAAAGTGATTAGGACGTTCGCGTCCGTCTTTGTCAATGTGGCCGCTGGCGGTCTTCCCAGCTTCATTGGTGCCTGTGCAAATATACACGCACGGGAAATTTTTTCCATTTTTTGTCAACCTAAGACAGTTTCAATTTAAGACAAGCCCCTTGTTGTCATTCCATGTCTTTTAGCATAATTCCCAAGTTCATTTATCTGCAAAGTGCTATTTTAAATCTACGCTACTTTAGATGGCAGTTATTATTGCCCCAACACTTACTGCGTACATTTTATGGTAGAAAGATCAGCGGATGACCGACATCAGTTGTTCATCAGATTAGCCACGGGCATTAACATTTACCCAACTGGTATATATGATTGGTAAGCCAGGACTGAAGGTCGATAGGATGAGGGATAATGGTATTGCCGACAAAGACAAGGAGGACTAGAATGGCCATTTCTGGATTATTAGCCGTTGTCAGCCAGTCATACTTAGCCCCGAAGTGTGAAACACCTGGGGCACGATCCCGAGATCTGTTAGTTAGAAGTCAAACGCCTCTAACCCCTGGGTCACGTGATGTAGGCAGAACGATATTACCGACAAAGACAAGGGAGGCTGGAATGGAAATTCCTTGCCTGTTAGCCGTCGTCAGCCGGTCAGGTCGCGAGTTCGAGCCTCAGGTGTTCCACATTTCGGGGTTGGGTGTGGCTGGCTGACGACGGCTAATAAGCCTGAAATGACCATTCCGGTCTCCCTTATATTTGTCGGTAATAATACTCTATTTATATCATACGTCGCTGGGCGGCTGGCGGCTGGGCTCGAGAGAGAGAGAGCCCGTAAGGCACAACGGGACGAGTGAATTCCCTAAGAGCGATCGGTGAGCGCCCCTCTACCACAGGATGAGGAATGTTTTGTGGTCTTTAACGAGACCAAGGGTGAGCGGGTTTGGAATGTGTAGAATGACAACGGCATAATTAACGTCGCATTTATGTCAGTGTGGAGGCCGACAGATTATTCTCTTTACTTCGAGAAATCAAACACATGTTGACGATTATGGTTAAATTACTTCCATTTGTCTTTTGCAGGGCACGTACCATTCGGTGAGAATTTCATAGGCCACTGCAAGGTTTCACCTTAGAATGTTGTACATAACTATTATTCTGGATACTCCGAATAGAAGTCTTCAGAAAGTGAGGACTCTCTACTTCTTCAGAAGACGTAAATTCCGAAGTTCTAGCATGGTCTGCGTTACCGTGGTTTTTTTTGTCGAAATTAACTTCTGCCGGATTTGTCACTTAAATCATCAAACAGACGTGGTCCTAGGCTTTTCGTTAACGTTCTCAGCCGTAGTCGAGATGTAAAAACCCGTGTGTTCCCTAAAAAGAGACAGTGACGCCGGTGAGAGACTAGATTTTCCAGAAACAATTAGTCACAATCTGTTCATGACGTGTAAAATTACCCCATAATTTACAAAACGGAACTTACTTCCAGACAAAATATGCCAGACGGCAATTGGGCCAAATAATCGACTTAAAGGCATTTTCTGCCTTTGTTAATTCAAATTACGAATATTGAGCGGAGAACACTGAACATCAAAGCAAGTCGTAATCAAACAACCCGATAGGAACTCCCGTGTTTTGGGAATGCAAAAATTAGGGAAGGCGCATGTCTCGTAAAGGCGAGATTAATGGTATCAAGAATTTGTGGCAGATAACCAACTGTATATGATTTAGGTTTCACTCAAATTTCCTACCCCGAAGAAATATACCACACTTTTAAAAGGGCACCAGTGCCCGTATATTTTGGCAGACAACCGGTACGGCATGGGAGCGGGAACCCCCGTAATACAAGCGGCCTTGCGCCAATTTTCAGGGAGATTAAGAACAAATTCAACGTTAGGATCAAGGAAAGATTTCAGGTTTAGAATATAGTTTAGGTATAGAGGGTTGGAGAGGAAAATATGGATCCTTATATTACAGGTGATCTTGCCATAAACTCCGAGAGTCTGAGTTAGGGCAAGGGTTGGGGTCAGGGTCGGGGATAAGGCTAAGATACGAAAATAGGAACCCAGGGAATTTCCCACGACGCCACCTCTAGTACTGGGAGGGGGTCCATACTCCCGTGTCAAACTGGCCAAGGTCAAGGCTAGTGTAAGAGGGAAGTTAATGGTCAGAATTAGGCTGTGGAAGTACTTTCACTCCTTAAAATTTTGTACAAGACCAACCGTATTATCGGTGAGGCCTTCCTATTTCCGTGTACTACCAGAGAACTTGTGTTTTTATTTTGCTTTCAGGATTTCGAAACTAAATTATATGTGCTTTTCCTAGAGCAAATGCGCATAGCCGCACAAATCCCCACAAAGAGGCCTCCTGACGTTCAAGAATTACTCCGACAGGTATAAATCACATCGAATACCTTGTGCATAAAATTATTGCAATTAAAGGCTTTTTGCGGATATGAATATCACCTTTCTCTAAGTACTAAACTTGTTAAATCTGATTTCTTATAAAGTCCGTGTGCTAAATTGTTTTTGACGTATCCCTGTATCAAATATTATCTTGATTATAGAGGCGGCAAAAATCCCTCAAAACAGTGTACAGAACCTAAGCAGTGACTCATTTTTGAATGGATGTTTAACAGCTGACTGAAAAAGGCTTTTAAATTCCAGACGAAAATTGGTCTGTGCTGCCTAATAAGTAGTTTTCCAAACCTTACTAAAGTAAGCCTTTTCGTTTGGAGGTAGCGTGCATAGGCAGACCATCGCAAATTGCTTTAGGCGGGATAAATTCTGCATGTTTGACCCGTAGATACCCTCAACGACGCAACAGAGCCTCTGTTTGATTGTCCTTGCAACCATGTTATATTTAATGTGCAACTATGCTATAAGAAGTTTCTTCGGAACTAACTCCTTCATCAGTCGGAACCGGGTTTGATTGCTTACTTGTGAATAAGTCGTTTTTGGATACTTCCGTTTTAAGAGGATTGTTTTCAGAAGGGGAGTGCTCCATGTGGAATATTTTCTTCGTCCTTTTTGGAAACAGCGTTGACAAAAATTTATTTCTGCTACACTGGCACAAATCTCATTAAACGCAAATACTGTCCTTATCAGGCCTTTTATTGAAAAAGGACGTATTAATAAAAAAACTTTCTAATCGCGCATAAAGACATTCAGAGAATATGGCTTAATATCCTGTTACACTGGAAGGTGTATATTTTTGGACAGAGAGTGTAAACCATAAAAGTAATATATATTGAAAAATCCGATCCCGATCAAACAAATGGTTTCGAACTACAATTGGGGAAGCGTGATATATCACGGTATCGCATGTCAACTAGATCTTATAGATCAAATAGATAGCGCAGAAAATCCAATTAGCATGACATATACTCACGATTCAGTTTTCATCCAGCGGTGTTTTGGATTTCGGTTGAGTATTTTTCCAGTCATCCGAGTAAACAACACAAAGAAAGGCCCATTGTCTAAGCTGTGTGCGACTGCTTTTAATGGATTCCGATGGTCTCATGGTTTCTTCCATATTTGTTGAAACAGAATGCAGAAAAGCTCATTTTTATGTCCATTGTACAGGAAATTACGACCAGGAATACTTATGTGGCTCCCCCACGGGACATGGAAGTAGGAACACCCCTCCCACAGAATACAGGAGGCCTTGCGGAAAATTCCAGCAAGGGTAAATATTCTCAAGACCTAACCCTGACAATAAACCTGACACAAACCTTAACCGTAACCCTAACCTTAACATTTCCCCTAATTTCCCTGGAATTTGGCAAAAAACCACTCTATTATGGGCGGTTCTTGTTCCGGTGCCCTGTCGGGACCCATATAAACAATCTTTCCCCCCTCCCGGAATTACTTCCACATCATCGTTTGAAATTGAATAAAAGAAATGTGTCGATTTGTAAACTCTGAAAACAATGGCTTGTCTTACGGAACAGTCTGCGTTTTGCATATACATACGATTCCCAAATTAACACCTTGTTACTTGCCTTTTGATGCAATTTGAGGGAATATCAAACCAAAATACACATGAAAAAATTAACATTCTGTTTTTATTGATAGGCGTCCGACACGTTGGGCACTTGAAGTTACTCGGAAAGCAACCGTTTACACTACGGACATAGAGTGAACAGCTTTTCCTTCATTTATTTTCCGGCGTCGGGCTCGTCAAAGAAGAAATTTGCATCAGAATGAGGGGAGGAGAGACGAACAGGATCATCCCCAGAGTACTTGGAGTCGGTTCGACTTACCTGACTGTCTAGACCAAGAGTGAAGAGCATGGTGAAGAAGAGGACGGCCCAGACTGCTCCGCCGGGCAATTTGGCCAGCGCCTCTGGGTAGGCACAAAAGGCCAGTCCCGGACCCGACTGCATCACCGCGGCCACATCCGTGCTGCCCAGCGAATGTACCATGTGTCCTATTACCGAAAATATGGCTATGCCGCCGTAGATGCTCGTTGCACCGCAAATAATTGGCAAAAGAAACGCATCCCTAAACAAAAAGTGAAGAAATATTTAGGACTAGATGGCGGTGAGCTATACGGACTTGATTCTACCCCCACACAAGGGGCGATACAGGTGAGCTTCCCGATACAAAAAACGCAAGATATTTTCAGATTTCTGATTGCATGGATTAAATAAAACTCGGGTTTCTAATGTAATCAACGTCCTTTCACCGCAAGTTACATTTTTATCAATAACGCAGTTTATTTGCTTGTGTGAACACACGTTGGAAACGAATGCTTCGGCCACATTCCGTTGATAGGCCTGTGAAATGGATAAATAAATGAGAAGGAGTTATTGAGGGACAGCCCCTCCCCATTTCTGTCCTTAAATGTTTCTCGACCAGTGATTGTTCGCTCCCGCGTGATCGCCGAGGTGGATCCTTGTCTGAAACTTTAAACCAAAAAGGAACGCATGTCTCCTGCCCTGTAATCGGGCACAAACCGGCGAGTCCTGACTCAACCAAACGCTTCACAACAGCAAGTAGCAATGCGCTTCTAAACTTGGGTGACTTCTGTGTTTTGCCCATTAATAAAACAGTACTTCGGTCAAACAGCGACAACTATCATTGTGAACATTCGGTTAGACAAGACTTAATTTAAACACTAGCCTTGGACTTTTACCGACAGACGTCGGAGAAAGGAGAGTATTTTTCTTCAGACATAAAATGTGACGGAACCTTGCTCCTGCCCATGGCTTTCTGACTTTACTTTTAAGAAACTGGCTTAAGATTAGAAGGGGAAACAGCAATGGTCACACAGACAGTACGCCAACTGTATGTCAAGCTTTGAGTCAATCATCATGCAGCGTTGACCATGCGAGGTTGCCCCAAATTAAACTGCGCGTACTGGCTCAAACAATATACGAAAATAGCGCGTTTCCCGTTTAGTTAATTGCAAGTGGACTGGAAAAATTACGCGTTTGTGGAACTTTTTATTCAGTTTGTTAACAAAAACCGAGTAAAGCTGCAACGCATTGTCTAAATGTTGTAATAGGTCTTCGACGAAAGAGGAACTTGTAAATGACTCATTTATGGAATTTAATCACCTGCTGTATTTTCTGTTCACTTCGTTGTAGGAAGACATAGTTATGAGGCCGCCCCAAGAAGGACCAATTGAGTAAAAGATCTGTACGGCAGCATTGGTCCACAACTGAAAAGAGGCCAATCAAAATCATCAAGGCCCTTATAAGACTGACCTGTTGACAGCGGTAGCAGGATGTCAGCCCAATCACTACAACGGATTTTTTCAAATTGATAAACTTTTTTCAGTCATTTCGCTTCAGAGGGCAGTTAACTGTAAAAAATACTAGTCTGTTGACATACCCAACCATGAGACGTAGTTAGTCATTAAGCACACTTTCAACATGTCACTTGTTGAGTACTGAAGGTGTGGAGACAGAAATTTAAATGTAGGCAGTTAGTCTATGAGATCCCGACCTCATGCATTCAATGACAATTATTCTAAAGGAGGAAGGAACCTAAAAGTCAAAAGAGACTACTTAGTTGCCTTTTCTGCTTGTTTTTGGCAGAAGACATGTTTAGGAACCTAGCTGCAATCTAACTATTTCCTAGATTGGATTTTGTCAATGTGGTTTACCAGCAACCAGCATTGTCGGGACTGAGAAATTTTCGACGGGTTGGCTTACTTTGGCAAAATACATTCGAGGGTCCGCGACCACTATGAGGCAATTCCAGACACACTTGACCCCCCGCAGCATTGGTTTATGCCCCGAGGCCTTTGGCTTTAGTGGACGAACCTTTAATTTGAGTAATTGCTTAGTTGTTTACCGCCTAAGTCTTTTGGAACTAAAGACCACTCTCTCTCTCGTGATTTGTTTATTTGCTGTTGCTTAACTCTGGATGTTTTGTGTTAAAGGTGTGTTGGCAATATTATCGTACGGCAGACCAAATGGCGGCATGGTTTTACTGGAAAAGCGACATATATTTTAGTTTTACCTATTTCAGAGTATCGACAACAAACTACATCAGTCTGTTTGTCTGTCTCCACATAAACGTCAATCCAAAGTCATTACAAGATATTTTATAGCAGCTTATATTTTCGCGACCAGTCGGCTAATAAGGACTTACTCCAACATTGAGAAGGCGGCTCCAGTCAGGGCGCAAGTAAAACTGAAGCCCCAGCCATGAGCCCGGGAGTGTTACACCTCGAATGAGAATTGCCGTTAAGAAGACATAGGGCAAAAGGGCGGTCACGTAAACAACCTGCGTAGAGAAAAAAATATAAATTACTTTTCAGGTAAGAAAGGCAAAGGAAAACTAAGCACACGGTTTTCCATCCGGATTAACGGAAACTTGCCTTTCCTGTTGTGCGAATGCCCTTTATTAGGCAAAGGAATGTCGCCACCCAAGCGACAAACATGCATGCAAACAGCTTCCAATTGATTCCACCGAAAACCGAAATGTCTGGCGAAACTTCCAAAACGTTGTATCTAAAGTAAGAGAAAGTGTTCATTTATAATTATTTGCTTATTTAATATTAAGACAAGAATTTTATTCTACACGGAAAACGTTGCATTTATGAAGCCATTGTAGTCAGAAAAGAATAGCTATATAAAACATTGGTTGCCCACACACACTTCATTCCTAGCCTGAGTTCAAACGAGTCGAGAAGTTGCTCTCGATGCAGTATGTGACCAAACTTGTGAAATGTGATCATGAGAATCTATATAATAATTTAGACTCACCGAAACGTTGTGCTCTTTACGTATTCGTCCGACCAAATACGGAAAACGTCCTTTTTGCATGTGAAATGCGTTTTTAAATGGATTTATCGGGAACAATGTCTGCTAAGTGGGCTAAAATTGATGTTAACTTATATTCTGACAGTTTCCCGCATTATTGCCTGCATTAGACTGCGTTTGCGCATCCACGCGTGTTTTTCTGGTAGAGTAATTTAATCTCGTGAATTTTACTGAACATAACTGTCGCACTTGAAAACTCGTTGTTTATTGCATGTGCTAATTATATTAAAATGTATTAGTCACCAACCGACCTGTCAGTATGTGACATTATGAAAGCTGTTAGTCCTGGGACGTCCTCACCGGTTAAATTAGGCGAAATCCTCTCTGCCTTTATCAACGGCATCCCAGGAAATGTAAAAACGAAAAAATAAAGCCAATTCTCATGAAAATATTTTCGAACGTGTACTCAAAATGCAAGCTGCTAAATGACCGCCATACCTGACACAACACCAAAGCCTGAAGGATTTTTACAGTGCAAAATCCACTAAAGGGCTATTTTCAGACGTTATTCTACATGGACTGCTTCATTTACTCAGTTATTTGCACGAGCAGACTTTACGTTCTTCTAAAACTTGGGTTTACTAATCTGACACGATTTTGGAGGTTGTCCTCATTACTGCTTTTCAAAAAGTGGTTATTTTTTGGACAACGCAATATTCTTTTCAATATTTCTTTCATGTTTTCACTCTACTTAGAGTGGTACATTGTCAAATAAGAATTTTGGTCGATACGACTGGGCCAGTTTCCGGGTAATAAGAAACGTTTCATAAGTTTGAGCACGTAATTTGTTAGTTTACCAACTGTAAATAATAACTTTCATGGGTATTTGGCGACGATAGGGTGTAGGACCCACAGCTAACTTGAGCTAGCCTGTGGGCCATGTCATACGTTGAATAGTGGTAGAGGAGTTTTACGGGTGGGGCAATACACAGCATGGAGAGCAAGATGACACAGAAGATAGACAAATTTACACCGAAAGTCTTATCGTAAGTTGTCATTTGGCAAAGAAAGTGAGCGCGACAGTCAAAAACATGCAAAAAGAATTTTTTAAATAACAACGGACTTCGAATACAGCACTGCTTGTAGCTTTACATTTAGTTCAGGAGGAAATGAAATTTCAAACAGTGCGAACGGCAAATAATAAGTGATGCTCACAGTCACACCGAATTTTAGGGTATATTTTTGGAGCTGCCATCTACTTGTGGGTTCTACAGGTTATCATCGCCTTTGGTGTAAACAGAGTACTCTATTCTTTGGAAAAGAGTCGAAGCCAGTGAACTGCAGCGTAATTGGCCGATTGGTGCGCTCCTGCCTCTTGAGACAGATTTTATATCAGTGCCCTGAGATTTCTGCGTGACATCTGGCTTTCATGAGGTAACTGCAAGACTTGTAGCGCCGGGTAGGAGGTTATTGCATCGTTTTCCTCACAAGTTGGTGCGAACTTCAGGAAAAGAGAGGAATGACGTTTGAATACGCTTATTTCGTCGACTTCCACCGTCAGGTCTACTATGCGCATAAAAAAGAGATTCGTCGAAGTGATGGTGAGCGACACCCCCTTCCCCTCCACCTGGTAAGAATCTGAGCCAGAGACGAACCCCCACCCCTATTGGTCTGCTAGTTGATATGCTGCGCAAATAAACTCATGTCTTCATAAATTTTGGGAAAGTGTATAACGCGTCATCAAAGAGTATAAAAGAGTCATTGGGTACCGATATCTTCCGATTGTGGCAAGGAGAATAATGAGCTTCATGCATTTATATTTAAAGGATAATTTTCCCTCTCTTATTAGCGACAAAGATAAGGGAGACTAGAATGCCCATTTCTGGCTTATTAACCGTCCTCAGCCAGTCATACCCAACCTCGACGTGTGAAACACCTGGGCCCTCGAACCCGCGACCTGTTAGTTAGAAGTCAAACGCCTTTAACCACCGAGCCACGGAATCAAAGTATTACTTTCCAACTAATGCGCCCATCACCCTCCTCTGATAAACAGTTGAAGAGCCTCACAGTAGAGTGATATTCGTAGGCATGCAGGATGATGTCGTCTTTGTCTTATCCTAATTTCTTGATCGTCTGTCAACCGTCCCTTGAGAGGGTTCGAAGTTTTAGGCAGGCCTCAGAAACTGAAGGTATCTGAAGACAACTGAAAAGAAAACTTAGCGGCCCTAACTCGCCTGTCATTTTTCCGAGCAAATGGATGCATTATTTACGTTTTACGACAACATTCGAGTGCAAAGACGCGTTTGTCAACCAAAGTGGAGATGGTTGAAGATTTGAAGGTCGAACCCCTGCATCATGGCTGCGCTCGGGTTCCCACCCGACCGGCCAGGCTTTTTAGGATATAGTCGAATCCAAACCACACTCAGTCGGTCTGTTATGCAACCTAAAGTCCCCCTCTCTCATTGCGAGGATCCTGAGCCTTCTGCAGAATCACTCGCAGATACGGCGGCCGTAAATCTGTCGGCAACCGAGACAATAAAGTCGACCGCAACCAACCAACCAGCAGCAGAACACGCAGAGTCGAAACCCTTTGTTGCCGCTCACACTAAAGCGCAAAGTCGTCCAGCGATCTTAATTTCTGTTAAAATTATGCGAGTCTGAAGCCAGTGCTTATAAAGCGATCGCCACTCGACTGCATTCGCATATCGGCTCTTGGCTGGATTCCCACCTAAATATTTATAAAGAACATCCATGGGACAAACTCGAAGTACTCGTTGATTTTTGAAGAAACATGCATTTATACTTATTTGTTTTACACTGGTAGCTGATCTGGTACTACACTGTTCAGCTGTCGTGAGACCGCTGACTTATCATGTTCGACCCACAACCCGAATTTACCATCCCCTTGCAGTGAGACGACAAATCTGTTCCACGTACCTGGTTACTCAGCAAGATCTCGGCGCACTTAGCCTGACAGTTCAACTGTCGCATCCGACGGTGTCTAACGTGTGCTCCGCAGCACGACGGGTCCAGACACAGTGACGTGCGCGTTGATTAATTTGTATTGATAGTGGACATGCACCGCATCTACCGCACTCTCTTCCCCCACCCACCTGAACCCGGTGTCAAAATAGAGTCAAGAAGACTGGAGCCAGAATCGAACGCAGGTGGTTTGCGCGGCGTAAGCCTATACCTATGCGTGTTACCACACTTCAAATGTAGGACGATTGTTATGGGGTGTAGAGCCCAGTAGCGCGTCGCAGATTCTGATCTGTCGCCCATACTGGTCCAGCGCATGTACCGTGTGGCCCGTTATAAATGACACGTTGTTAGTTTACTCCCCCTGTTTGACGGCATCTCAATCCCACAGGTTCCCATACCTATCCACCCATTCTGACATATAAAAAGACACTGTCCCGACGAAAAAAACACAGTAGCTTCCGGTCATTTAGGACACAGGTTAATTTCAAAAATCATTTATTCGGAGAACGTGCCGGAGAAAGGACACAGTCTTTATGTATACTCTGTTTCTGTCTTACTTATTAGGATAGTCATTAAGTCTAATTAAGAGATGACAGGAAGGACGGCGTTTCTTGTGGAAGGACATCGGGACGGTCTGTTAGCCACGTGTTCGGTTAAGTGCTCTGCACAGATCATTCGCCTCCAGATAATACTAATTGGTCAGGCGTGGGAGTTGGTGGAAGAGGACGCATCGCACGATGTTAGTCCTGAGACTAACTACCGGAAGTAAATTATACGGTGGTGGACGCTTGGGGAGGGGTGGAAAAAGGTAGCAATTCTGGCACCTGTTTGCGCATTTATATCCTCAGATAGCCTTTGAAATTACGTTGGTCAGTCTGGTGGCTTAACTATACACCCGCCCACACAATTATAATATGCAACAGGCATATGTAACAGTAGTTGTACACAATGTTCTATTAGACCAAAAGAAAAAATGAGGCCAGCGACATGTGCGTTAATAAAAGTTCTCCACCGCACATGAAAGTGGCGATTTTGAGGACAGAATTTTCGAGCAGTTTACATGAAATGACCCGACGCCCTCAACGAACCGGAAAAGATCTGAACGATGATATGCCTGAAAGAAATCGATGACTGATAGTGGTTAGGAGATTCATTGTCAAGATACGATACTATTTTGTGCCAAGAGACAATGAAGCCAGTCATCTGTATGAATGGCGGAGATGAGGAGGCCTTGCTCGATCGCAACCACGTCAAAGAATCCCCGATAGTTTCACTCAAGACAACCATAACTGGGCTATCCTTTATATCTCATACATGCATTTGTACTGCAATGAGGTAACTTTGGCGTGAGTACTAGCAAATTTAATGGTTAGACTAAAATGAAACCAAAACTGCGATGGATGATTTGATTCAGCAGATGCGTATTTTATACCCTAATTTGGGTGTTACCGACTAGCGTAATAGAGCGATGTGTGCATTTCGGATGACTTTGGACTGCCTTTTGATGGGATAAAAAGGTTGTGCTCTGGTGTAACCCGAACAGCCGGAGTCCACTGTACCAGCAAAGCAGTGCGTGAATGAATTATATGAATTTGACTGAGACTTTTCGCAAACCTGAAGCACTAATTTGCCGGAGCCTCTGAAGAAAGAAGTTAGTAATTACTTACAGCCAAAACTCACTGGTCGAAGTTTTCATGTTTTCCGGAAAACCGGTCCCATTCGTCTAAAAGGTGACAAAACGTATAATTCACAAATCCGTAGCACCCAGTATACTCTTGAAAGTTTCCATCCCCAAAGTACTGCTGCAGTCAACATATAATAGTAAGAGGTGCTGTAACCTCCTTCGTGCTGTTTCTGAGCTTTATAATGAGGTCGCCTGGTTGAGCAAAAAACGGCAGCACACCTACGGTTTATTTGCCTCCTCACAACGACATCACTAGACAGGCATCGAGTAAAAGTCAATCAGAGTTTTATTTAATATCAACTCCCTATAGATGGTAGTAAAGAAGGCGTTTGTCAAACCATGTGCCTGAGTTGAAAGTTGAAAGGTATATGCACTCATGTTTAGGGTTATGTCTCGTGATGTGTGACGTCGGCCATTCCAACATTGTAATGCATTAAAGTGAGGATGGTGCTTAACAAAGGAACACGCTAGTCGTCTTCCAGGTGACTGATGGATTTGGCCTATGTGGGGGTAACAGTAGGAAACAAAAATGGTATCAGATCAAATCTTGTTTCCCTGCATGTTTGCTCGTACAACAACATGGCAGCGTGCAAAAAAACCCGACTCACCGTGTCATCGAAAATACTGAAGCACTGAGGTGTATTCCAGGGGTTGTTGCAGTGCTTCCAGGGCAAATCCCAATTAAATGACATTCCAAAGTAGTAAATTACCCAGGCCATGACAATATTGTAGTAGATGCATAAAATGCCAGAAACCAGAAGCATTGCCCAGCCGGTACCTGAGTGTGAAATGATATCACCATTTTAGGTTTATAGGAAGAGACTTGCAAAACAGTAAAAATAAATGCGTTTGAAAATGCAGAGTTGATATTCCTATTTAAGCCCCATCCACTGGCTGCACCCTGGACTGGTAGGGTGTCAGCTGACAAAATAACTCGGTCCTACTCAAAGCCGACGGCCAGACTGCATTGGGATCTTTTTAATCTGACCCTCATAGCATTTCTATTTATGTGAGCTCAAAGACCTCACAACTCCTCTGAGGTTCGACATGTCATATGACATATGTAGAATAGCTGGTTAGCTTTGTCAGCTAATGCCCCCACGCCAGCATACAGCCATCTGGATCTTAAGCTGCCAATGAACAGCGTGAGCGTGAGTCCGGTACTGACAAAACCATGCGCAAACCACCGCTCTGCCAGCAGGACAGTCGTGAAACTCGTCTTTTGCGACAGTTAGACCTCAAACTTCTTCTTCTGGTTAAATATTTGACGAAGTGCGCGGTCGTCCAAAATACCTTTGGGAACCCGTTCCGAGCAATACCCGCAGTTCCTGAGCAACACACAGGTTGCGCTACTGGTATGTAAGTCAAAAAGTATTATAGGCAACGCCGAAAGGGCAATTCCTTTCCCATTTGCCGTCGACAGCCACTCATACTTCAATCCAGGTCGGAAACACCTGCTATCGGAACCGGCTTTCAGTTGAAAAATAATATGGACCCTTTACCATTCAAACCGCGAGCTTAGAAGCAGTCCTCTGCGACCGCCTATAAGGGCTCTTAATCAGACCCTGTAATAAAGTAAAATACCTATATTCAGTCTGAAAATCCTGCTAGATGAACGAAAGTCCTATTTTAAGCGTACTGGCATAAGTGAGTGACTGTAAAGGAATCTGTACCCGCTCCTTAAGGTAGACAAGACTGATTGTCTTTATCGCAGCCGAATATTCCCATGAGGGACAAACCACTTTTCACACTTTGCACAAAATTTTCCTTTTGCGTAAAAGGACAATTATGGTTACTAAGTCACGTACAAGTTAGTGGATTAGGTAAGAACTAAGTAAAATATCTCCAATGCTCACTTCGCATCTGGCACAGAGTTTCCCTGTCTTATATAAACGTCACCTTTTACCGATGTAGCCGGTAGTGTCATTTTACTGTTATATTTTCCACAGAGTACTTTCCCACTGGTCATCAGGCAATGCCTCATCTTACGTTGCCTTGGCGGCGTCTTATCCATACAGCAACATAAACAGTACTCACCCTTGAAGAATGGCGCAAAGTCAAAGGCTCGTACGGGGCTTAGACCGGTGTACTGTCCGAGCGTAAACTCCATGAAGCAGAGTGGAATGGCACTTAGTGCGAGGAAGAACAGATATGGAATGATAAAAGCACCTGCAAATGGAAAGGAAAATAAAATGGAAAAAACGACAGTTCCGTGATAGCTCACAGAGGAATTGATGACATTCTCGCAAAGGGTATGCTTTATTATTCTGGCGCCAGGGTAAAAAAGCGAATGCATGACTGTCTTAACCTTAACAAAATGTCGGCGCAGCAGACTTATGCTGTATGGAATCAAGTACCGGTCTCAAGAGTCTTTGCTGACGTCTTTTTTTCGAAAAAGTTTCTGCATCCTAGGAAGGACGTTTACTGATCGGGTTACGGAACCCGTTCGCCACTCTGCGTCTTGGGGTTCAATGTAGAGCCCTCATAGACAGTCTTGTAGCCGCCGACAATATACGTTGAGGCGAGTTCCGATAAAGGCAAAGGAGAATGGAGGAGCCATTTCCGGCTTATCAGCCGTCATCAATTAGCATGCCGATCCCCGGTTTAATGTACCTGGGATTAAATACCGGGACCATTGATCATTGCGTCTAACCCTTTACCAGTGAGCCACGGACTACAGCCATGTCCTTTGCGACTGGGTTACGGGACCTGTTCGTCCTGTTGTGCATTGGAGGTCGATGCAGGGCCCTCGCAGACGATCGTATAGCGACCAAGAATATATTCTGACGAAGCCAGAGGAGACTGAAGCGGCCATTTCTGGCTTAGTAACTGTGAGACTTGAAATGACTTATACTGCTATTTAAAAGGTGGTACCTAACCGTAGAACCTGGAGGCAAACTTTATTTGTGATAGTACACAGGTGATGTAAACGTAAGTCAAAACAGTGGACATATTAGATCAATTTATTAGTTTGACTTGTCCGACCCCATTTAAATGCTTTTGCTTAGGATTCAAAAGACAGTTTACAAAGATTTTACTAGTCCTGTAAAGGAGCTACTTTGCGTCGCTGAGCGAATCGATTGCATTCTTTGTAAAGAATATATGCACTATTTTAACTCTTAAGAAGTAAAAAAGGGAAAACTTCCCTAAGCGATACAACCTCAGCGAAGCCGCTGATGTTGGTAGGAATGAAATGTGCAACCATCCACACACGTCAGATTATGGGATCATAGTTAATGTTACCCTCTATTTCATGTGAACTTTGCGAATAGCCTTCATTTACCTAGAGCGACTGCAATACGACGATTAGAGAAGAACATAAGTTGCCCAAGCTGTCTTTTGCCTACCACGAGTACCACAGTCAGCGACCCTGGATGGAAGTAAGTACTTCTGTATGGGCCCAAAGATTCTCTAGTAAGCATGTTCTGTCAATATTTTATGATAAAATCACACTTTTATTCGTCACACTTTTAATTCAGTTCGTTGAGAAATTAAACAAGTGAGTCTAGTAAATGCATCAGGTCTGCGAAAGCATTTCTAGAGGGCGTGAAGCGACGTACTTTGCCTGTACCCAGTTCTTGGCTGTTGAGTGAACTGTTTATTTTCCACCGTGCGACTACCAGGTTCGTGGAATGGCAGAGCCGGCGTCAGTTGCTCTCCTTTCGATCTGCAGTTGATCAACACACTTCGCTTCTAAGTCGGATTTATGAAGCACTCAAGCAGTTAAGTGGCACTTAAATCAAGCCCCATAGCCTTGCTTGCAAATTCTTCGGTATATGAGCGTGAGCACCGACACATTAAACGCTGCGAACTTCTTTGCCTAGAAAGCGTTTGTCAGAAATCGCAATCATCGAAGTTGCTTTTAAATGCAAACAAAAGTTGGAAAGGGGTTTCAGGAGACAGATCGCCGGGTTAAGAAGAATGTAGGAATGGGCCGATATTACTCTGAACGTGTTTTCAGCCAGTCAGGTCGATTTTCCCCCATAAAGACCTACTCTACTATATTTCCAAATATTTTAGGCGTCTGTACTCTCAAGCTAACGAGTGACGAAACAAGGAAACGATCAGAGAAATGATGCTGCTGCGCTCGCCGTCTGTACATAAGACCAAAAGTGTCATGGAACATTTTCTTAATCATTGCATCTCCCATAATAAGCCTTTTTGCAATCTAAGTGTTGCCAAATATAACGGACATAAAAATTCCACGTCCTGACGCTATGCATGCACTCGTCCTCGTTTTATGGCAGTTTTGAATATGCGTATTCATTTTATGGAATTTCCTAATAATAGTTTAACAAAGAAGGGAATTATTGTAGAATGTCAGCTGTCTTTCTAAAAAGTAGTTGTGCAAAAAACGGAATATACCTAAAAATAAGTGTAATTACTAGCATAATAATCACACAAAATGCCTTCACCTTGTAACCGTTTTTGGCGTTTGTCGTTTGCTATAACCTTGTTCTATAAACAGCGTATGCTATGAAGCTCAAATTTTGCATTTTACTTAAACTCCTTTAGATCTTCGCCCGACAAATTACATAGCGACCAGTTTGTATCCAATAGGTAGATCTTGCCTAACTTCGACTAAGTCTTTAAACCAGAAAGCACTAAGCCCGTTGAAAATGGATTATACTAAGGCACCTCCCAACACTTTCCCAGTAATAACTGAGGTCAAAATGTGCACAAGGATAAGAAAGATAAAACGCTTTTGTCACACGTTTCTCCAAACAATGTTTGAAGTGATGGTCTTCAACAGACATCTTAAGAATTCAATGGAATTCAGTCAAAACCCTTTAATAAACGGCATAAAAAATTGCCGAATATGTAGGTGACACCCTGGCATCACTCTGTCAATGAAAGTGTTGCATTTATCGCTACCGATAGGTGGAAACCCCCTTCGGTATGAAACAAACGCCATATAGATCGTGTCACGCCAGTAGATTCGCTGACTTGGCACCTCGACGTCCTTTTTGAACAGAGAGGTTTAGTTAACAAGGCGTCCACATTTAGACAATTTTAGCGACAGTAGTCCTTGGAAGTGGCCAACACTGCTGACAATAAATACAACATCCAAGTTCTTGTGTGGCAACAAGGAACTACTCTTTATGTGTATCCTTGATAGCCTCCTACTTAATCCGTCATTTTTATTCAAATAACTGTTCAAATTCTTTACGAATGTCGTCCTTATATGTGTTTTCTCACGTACACGAAATCAGGCAGGTCACAAATTACCCAGGTGATCAGTCACATAATTTTGTTTTTTCTAGCCTAGGAGTGAACTTGTCCGCCTATTATTTCTGCTCGTAATCAAAGTTCTTGAGCGGGCTCACATAAACTAGCTCAAAACGGACTGAAAAACAGTATGTTTGAGCGGATGGAGGAGATTGCGTGGCTTTTGTATTAAGTGAAGTGGTTTTCTGCATTCAAATATTAGAAATCGTCGCTCAACTAACCTCCACCGTTCTGCATTACCACATACGGAAAACGCCAGATATTCCCGAGCCCCACAGAATAACCAACAAGGGCTAGGAAGAATTCGATGGGGTGGGCCCACTTGTCTCGATTGTGTCGCGGACCATCTCTGCCTGCATCCTCCCTCTCACCAGCGCTCAAGTCCTCCATCTGTACTTCATCAGATAGATTCCTCGAATCTTCGTCTTTCTGTGAAGATGTTCTGCATGATCCATTAAGACACATTCGCCTCATTGGCGCTTTTATCTGGTAGGGATTTTCCTATAGTTGCTGACTTTGCTGCCCTGAACCACTTACAATGGTTCCTTGGGTGATAAATGCTCTTGATTGTGCTCTGGACATCATCTAACGCGTAGGCTGACAGCTGTCTGTCACGTCACCAATCATGTGAAGCCAGACAACACCCTTGCTCGAATCCGGTTGGTCGATGAATCTGTTGACCTACACACGCCATTGGACGACTTGCCAGCTCGATTCGTTTCTTTTCATACCATTGTGCATTGTAACGGTAGACAAAATAAGTTGGCCTGGGTGGCTGCGGAACAAAACCTGGCTTAGGCTTGTCATCTTTACCTGGGCAATAGCCAAAAACTTAGTCGCCTGAGCGGAAACTGCCGTCCGGGATCTCGGTTGCGTGTCAGATGCTTCCAGCGGATAGAGCGAATATGGTATGTCCTGGTCTTCTTACAAACTAGGAGGTAAGACGAAAAGTGTTGCCTTCCAGTGATTTGCAGACGTATTCTCCTCAGGCTAAATAGATGAAAGGTACATGTCGCCTATAAGTGCTTTGGTAAAGATCGCTCTTTATGTATGAAGTGACTGTCAGCACTGGACAACACCCTAAAGTTTTATGTTATCTCTATGTCCCCCTTTCGCAATTAATGAAATAATGTAGTTTTGAGCGCTTGAGCACGAAAATGATTGGCCGAACTCTCGATGTAGATAATTTATTTCGTGCGAGTAGTCTCCACGACCAAAATAATTTAGTATATATGATGAATTTGTGCTCAAATCCTCATGACCCAAATTGCATCCTCTGAGCCTCGCGGTTTCAGCCGGGCATCTAACCAAATACGGGATATAATTAAGTAGTTATTGGCAATCAAAATCTGCCCAATATGCCATTCCAGGAAAAGTACACAACTATCCGAATTTACCAATTTTACTGCCTCTAACCTAACGTCAACTTACTAATAGGAGTAAATTTATTATATTCTGCAGTGATGTTTGTTTAAACATTTAAGAAAACTGAGATGACAGACGCACGGTTCTGATTATCCATCTTCAGACCTGTTCATCAATATACGCCACAATGAACAGTTAAAATGACAATGATAAAGGACGAGGAAAGGTCTGAGTGGTCGCCTGGCAGACAAAACGAGGCGGAGAAAGTATGATCTAGTTCTGAAGTTAGGAAACAGTGGCTGTCAGTGGGATGCGTTAGTGTGTCGTTGCTGTACGAAGTGTTAGGGTGCGCGTAGGAAATTGTGGAGTCCAACTTGGGTCAGGCTAACTTCAGGGCCTGTTCAGACGTCTCCTGCGAACACGAGGCTGGGTCGGCTAGCTGAATGGCCAACCACTCCGCAGTCGCACATATCTGCTAGCGTAGGAATGTTAGGTGCACAACCAGCGCCGTTTAGATGGCACGACTGTCTTGGTTAAGGTCTACTCGCTGATCACCGGTAGAGAGGAGAAATTTGGGTTTTAGTTTGAATTCCCTTGACTTGTGGAATTAACGCCAACGCGTAGGAAACCAAATTAGTCTCAAATTACCCAATTGTCTAGGGCTATGACCTATACTTCAAGTCCACTGTGTTGTCGGCAGACGAAACCTTCGTGATATGAAAGGCTGAGATATACTGAAATTGTGAAGACTCATGAAGCTGATGTCCGCGTTCGTTATCTTTGTCCTCATATACTTTCTATCTCCGTTTCGTAGACAGTTCAGCTGCAACTTGCTGCCGACAGGGCAGAAGATGTGCATTTGAAGTTCTCGGCCCAAGGGCAGTCTGTTGGTTCAGTGAACGAGCAGCGGGTTGACACCAGATCGTCAGTAGTATTTATTCCAAGACTGGAGGCATAAAGGTCGGCAGTGCCGAAATCCCTTTCTCTTACTTTACTAAGGAGAATATGGGATACGAACTACTGTTGGATTCACAAATGACGAAATTAGGGCTTCCGCAAGCAACTCAAGATCACGAATATTTCGAAACAGACGGGCCCAAAACTAACATTTATTTCCAAAAACCCGCATATCATGATTTGATTGACATTCAACTGCTGTTGTCCAACCCAGTAATTTGCACCTTATACACACAGCCTGGTCATTTAAAAATCACTGACGTTATTTTATTCACGCTCTTTAGGAATAAGGCATCAAAAATTTTGACTTTTTGCCTCTAACTCAAAGTCGTCTGCAGCTTCACACGGTATCCCTCTCACACTTCAGAGTCCACTGGCACTTTACTTTTTTCTAAACTTTTGAATAATAATCATATCAATACTAATCGAACTCTTCCACGGCCGAAAATTTAACGGCCCGCCGTTTGTGATGCATGTGTACAAAGCAGATAGCTCATTTTGCCATCAAAGTTTGCTTATGCCCAACCTCAAGAGGTTTTACTAGAAAACTCCATGAGGATCAATATTACAACCCAACCCTAGTAATCCTTTCCAGCCGGAAATGCAGGTAAAAATTAAGGTAACATTTCACAAAGTGGACCAGATACTATAAGAGAAGTTATCTTCTTGTAAGAATATTCACGTCAATCATTTTAAATAGTATAGAATCAATTTAGATTGCTACTTTCCGCAATGCAGCATATGCAATCACCTCTCAGCCTCGTTTTCTATATAACACATTTAAATTTATAAGGGTATCGCACATCAACGAGAAAATTCTTAGCACTTAACTGGCCCTTTTTCCTAGAATGAATGTTTTTCAAACCTCCAGAAAGGAGCTCCTTCAAATACCGACATCCCGGTATGGCTGAAATATCTTGAAATTATACTGCGCAGTGATCAATATTTCAACAATGCTTAGGAAATCTTTTGAACTGAAAACAGACTTCAAAATATTCGTTAACACTTCGTGAGACAGTTTAACTACTGCATTTTGCCGAGTTATTTAGATTGTAAACCTATACCGACTTTACTGAGTCCAAAACCTCACAGAATCCGTCAATGGTAGGGTCCTTCGCAAGACAGTACCTCAAATTGTCGTGAGTTAAAGCTAATTTTTCTCTGAAAATGTGGTCTTTATCAAAGAGGGCATTCTTGACACGGCAGCAGAGGTCATGAGCCACTATATCAGGGACTACGCAAAACAAAGGCGTCACATGTGGCGGACGCCGACAGTAGAGGGCGTACAGAGCTAAGTGTCACATTTTTAGTATTTGGCTGGGCACGGCAATATAGACCTCATCACAGTTCAAGAGACCTTGTACTAACTTCCAGGGGGCTAGAGCTAGGGGGGTTAGGGTTTTTGATGTATTGAGGCTAAGCAATCAGTTACGGGAGTCACTCTCCCCGTTGTGCTTTTAGGGGCTGATCTAGATTCCCGCAGGCTACCACATAGCGGTAAGCATAATATTCAGAAGCGCCTTGCCAAAAAATACAACGGGGACTGGAATGGCCACTTCCAGCCCAATAACCGTCGTCGGCCAGCCATATATCAACTCCGAAGTGTGCCACCCGCGATGTTCGAACCCGCGACCTGCTGATAAGAAGTCCAACGCCCTAAGTATCGGTTATGTTTAAAATTGAGACGAGTGAATAGACACCTTTGGAATTTAGGGCGAGAGTGTCCTGGATCCATACTCCCGTGTCAGGCCACTTTTCCTGGACATTACGCAAGCCCGCATTTAAGGCAGAAAACGAAATACTTCTATGAGGGTAAGTCCGTCTAGTGGAAAAATTCCACTAACAACAAACAGGCTGATCATAGATCTCCTCACTGTCCTGCACAGAGACGGCGGATTATTCAGTGAATATGCATTTTGTCCGTGGCCCAAATCGCCTGAGTATCTAATTACGGAATTTGGTGACTTCACATTCACTGCGGCGAAAGAACTTCGTGATGTTCATATGCCTTAGCCGCAACGAAGAACTACACCACACAGATACCAGATTTCAATTATTTGTATCAAGATGGCTCTGAGCGCACACACAACAACAGTATTTATCACCGCTGAGATTACGAGTTAGTCAAAACCTCCGGATGGCTGTTATTTACTTCAACGTCACATCATTCGAAAGAAAAACAGGAGTTACTAGGCCTCGGTAAGTAGCCGTGCAATTCCAAAACAGTATTCGCGCGTTGCATTCTGTAAGCTACTTTCTAGGCCAACGCGGCTTCATAAGGGTAATACGTTCCTGATATTTACCTGGAATGTTCGGTCTCTCTTAGGCAATCCAAGGGGCAACCGGCCGGAGCGGAGAACGGTGCTAGCCTCTCGAGAGCTGGTGCGCCACAAGGCGGACATCACTGCCTTCTCCGAGGCGCGCTTCTCCAATTGAAGGAGGTGGGTGCCCGTTGCACCTTCTTCTGGAGTGACCGCCCAAACCGGAGCGGCGCGATGTCGGCGTCGCTTTTGCCATCCGAAACGACATCGTGGGATGAGTGCCCTGTCTGTCGCAGGACCCAACGACCGCCTCATGAGCCTAAGTCTGCCTCTTCAGGACTCCAAATCCACCACCATTCTCAGAGTCTACGCCTCCCCCCAATTAGCGACTCCGACGAGGCGAATGACAAGTTATATGGGGATCTACACGCCCTTCTGGCGACCCTACAGAAGGCGGACAAGCTGATTGGCCTTGATTACTTCAATTCCCGAGTCGAGACAGACCACGCTGCCTGGAGGGCAATGCTGGGTTCCCAGAGAATACCCGGCTGTAATGACAACAGCATCTTTCTTCTTTGAACCTGCTCAGAACACCGCCTTCTCTTGACCAACACTTTCTTCTGATTTTCGACGCATGAGATGCATCCATGACCGCGGCGCTGGAACCTGCTGGACTATGTTTCGTCTGCAGGCGTGGTCAGTAGGACGTGCTAGTGACGAAGGCGACCTGGGAAGCCGATGGTTGGATCAACCAATGCCTTTTCATGTCCAGAATGGGCCTCTGTCTGCAACTTTTCAGGAGACCACAAGGTAGACGACCACCAGGTTAGTTGCATACTGTTCTGTCGAGTTTCTCTCCTCACCACTTCGATTTCAACCATCAACTGACAACGACTGGAAGATCTGAAAACTCTAAATGAAAACGTCTCCATAGAGACTCGCTGCTATCCACTCCACTGCCCTGGATCTCCTCGGACGCCCACGCCGTCAACAAAAGGAGTGGTTTGACGACATCGACGAAGATATCAGGAACCTGCTCGACGAAAAGAATGGGGCCCACGAGGACGACAGTGACCGCTTGACGAACGCAAACGAAATGGCCTTCTTAAGATGTCGCCGTCCTGTGCAGCAACGGCTGCGAGGAATACAGGACACCTTAATGGCTTGCAAGACCGAAGAGATCCAATGGTATGCGGACCTCAACGGTACAAAGAACTTTGCATCAATCAAGGCAATATACGGCTCTACAGCCAAGGGAATCGTCACGATTGTCAGCTCTGACCGAACGACATTGCTGATGGAGAAATCACAAATTCTGAAGCGCTGGACCGAGAGCTTCAAAAGTTTCTCTAACCGTCCCCCTTAAAATCTTCGACACCGCAATCGGTCGGCTCCTCCAGCTGGAAATGAACACCAATCTGGACCTCCCACCATCCCTCCCAGAAACCACACAAGCCATATACCAACTTTCCAGTGAGAAAGCATCAGGATTCGATGTCATCCCGACTGAAGGTTACAAACATGGCGACTCCCGACTAATGGAAACACTTGCAGCAATCTTCCGGGAGAAATGGCGCCAAAGACAAGCTCCTTAGGACTTCAAGGACGCAATAACCGTCCATCTCTACAAGCGGAAAGGGGACGAACAACTCTGTGATAACCGCAAGAGAACATTGCCGCTCAACATTGTCGGAAGATGTTCGCTCGCATCCTCCTCAACCACCTCAACGGCTATCCATAAAAAATAATTCTGTAGGAAAATCGGCGTGGCTTCCAACGACATCACGAAACTGTCGACATGATTTTTGCTGCCCGGCAGCTACGATAGAAGTGTCAGTGGATGCGGACCCCCATTTACACCACCTTTGTGGATCTGACGAACACCTTTGGTGAAGTGAATTGCGATAGATTCTGGAAACTCGTGCCGAAATTCGGATGTCTTGGAGGACTCACGCACACGGTAAGTCAACTCCATGACGGGATGATGGCAAGCGTCACTGACAATAGGGCCGTCTCGGAGGCATTCGTAGTGACCAACAGAGTGAGGCAGGGCTGCATGCTCGCTGCCCCGTTTTCAGCCTTTGTCATGCTGATGGACGCCTACCGTGATGAGCGCCACTGGATTGTCCTCGCCTACAGTACCGATGGCCAACTTCCCAATACTCGACGCGTCAGTCTGCGGCTACTGTCCATCGTGGACGATTGTGCACTCACTGCCGGGACTGATGCAGACATCCAGCGGAGTCTTGACCCCTTCGCCTCCGGCTGCGTCAACCTCGGACTGACCATCGACACTGACAAAACGGCGGTCATGCGTAGATCGTCGCCGAACGCCTCATACAATATGTGTCTGTAGTACGTGGCCTAACTCATGAAACGCGATGATGGAAATGAAGCCGATAGATTGTGGACAACCAAAATACTGCCCGATTTGCTTATTAGTCCAGCCTTTTTCGGAGAGCGTTTTTTGCATGCACAGTATGTTCATAAATAATTTTATCAGCCAAAATATTCGTAAATATGAGCGGAAATATACATTACCTTGTATTTCGGCGGTTTCCTATGCTAGTAGCTGTCGCGGACCAAATTTGCGCATCCGCGCTTGTTTTTCTCGAGAAGATAGGAATCTTAATATTGGTTTTAATATTGGTTTTATATTTCCGATTGGCTTAAAGTCATTAATTATTACTTCAAAGCTTTGATCAATTGCTTTGTGCCGGTTTGTGAATGACTAGCAATATTTCGTAAATTTCGACACACTTCATGCGATAGGTCACATGACAGTTCCACCGTCATGACCGACTATATCCAACTTGTGCTCCCCAAATGTTGACACCGATTATCACAATCTGGGCGTCCCGCCGTAGTCGATCACCGTCATCGCCATTATACCTGCCACTAACTCCGCGGCCGCAACGACTACAACCACCGCTTCCACTCTTGCCACCATTCAAAACACGCCGACGTCCCGTCAGTCACCGCTCTTACCATCACCACCCCCACCTCCGGCGATGTGGGCTCTGTTCGAACATGTCCTCACTGCGATCATATATTCGCCACACGCGTCAGCCTGGTCGGTCACTTGCCAATCTCTCGCACTGCGACCACCGCGCCGGTGCCGGGAGCCCTCACATACATTCGCCGCATCCGCCTTCACTGTTTGCGCACATTCATGCAGCAAATGGGCCCGTCCAAACACATGCTTATCCACGACAGTGGAATTCACCACAGTATCGAGACACCTAGCACACTTAACACATCCACCAACCCCTCCATTCATCGGTGCGATCGCCACCAGCAGCACCAAAATGGCAGCCGACTTAGCATTCTCCAACTTATCCTGCCCATACTGCAGCCGCACATCCACCTCACGCATCGGCTTGGTTGGTCACTTCCGGGTCCACCGTACACAGACTGGCGAACCAATGCCTCGAGCACCAATGTATGCCGAATGCCATCACCTTAATTGTCCACTTAGCCTCCCCCATTCAGCCATCACATGGGCTAATTTGGTTAAATACCAACGCCAAATCGCCGCAGACATTATCACATGCTTCCCCATCAATGTATCCACCACACATGGACACCTCTAACATCTCCCATCACCGTCATCTCTCAGGTAAGCGGGCAGTAAGTTCTTCGGTTTCTTTCTCCACGTAACTCCTCTGCTACATGTGAGATCCAGAAGATCTACCCCGTTTGCCCAAAATCCTGGCGTGTGCGTATGAGACCAGGTCGCGTGTGTGGCACACGCAAGCGGGCTGTTCCTAGTTCTGTCAGCCCCCTCTCCCAAACCCACCATCGAATAGTTGATCGGCTCGGACAGTCGGGAAGCGTCGACGGTCTCAGCGCATATCCCTCACTAAAAACAATCTGACACACTTAAATATATCACGGTGAGCTAAAAGTCGTGGCTTGGGTGGTTTCCAACTAACGGGACAACTCGGACCTCACAGTCACCCCAGTGTGTGTTTGTGTGGAGTGGCCGACTGGACTGAGAGTCAGGCTACAATGGCTCCTCCCTAATGTGGTCGACGTGGCACTCCCCCTCAGTAGGATCCAAACCAGTGTGGTAGCACGCGCCTGGCTGCGGATTTTCGTCCTGCTAGCTACCTAGGCCCTCATTTGCCTCCGGTCTTATTGACTCTGTATTGACAGCGGGCCCAGGTTGGGAGAGGAGAGCGGTAGATGCAGCGCAAGTCCACTGCCACTAATTCACGCGCAAGTCACCGTCCCTGCTTCCATCCTGTCGTGGAACACACGGTGGACATAGTCGGAAACGACGGTCGAACTGTCACGTTGGCAAAAAACTTAGTGATGAAACCTAAGGACCAAGGCTGCGAATGCACTTTCGCCGGCTCCCATCAAACTTTCTCTACACCGGGTATAGGTTCTCAGAACACAATACGCATTCCATGTTTCCGGCCAGAATGGATGCAGAAAACTCTGGGAGTTAGTTTGGATCTGGTGCTACAAGTACCGCGTTTTTTCGAACTAGAAACAAAGGTCCAAGAGCCGATGCTTCCAGTTTATTAAAGTGTGAGGCAGCTTTAGCAACCCTATAAGTTAGGATTCGAGTCCTACGAATCACGAGTTTTTCTTACCTTATTTTTGGAATCGTTTCACTTACCCCTAAACATATTCCAATGCTCGACTATTAGTCCGCCTGTCGAGCCCTTGTTTACAAACCACTCCAATATACGTGCATTTGTATTTCAGACATTTTTACCCCGATTTTGGCGAACGGTAAAGGAACCTAAACTGAAAACTGTGATTATTGTTCTCCTAGGGGGGGGGGCACAGCCCTTCAACACAGTCAAGTAGTCTTTCCAGCGGCTAAATAGGTCTCCTCCCCTCTTCTTCAGCTGTTAACACTTTAAATATCATGCTTTTATAATACTGAGAAGAGCTACACAAGGATACTTTATTTTGCTACAGGTTTCATATTTTATGTTTAATATGAAAGTAGCAGTAAGAACGGAATGCAAGGGGATTCCTCGCATAAAGAAGGCCGATATTGAGGCATCAGAGCCAAAAACTAGAAGGCCCCTGAACGGTCTGATTGACGACCCGCCTTCCTCTCGCCTGCCGTGTCAAAGTCTTCCATGTCGCTCGCTGCTTCTTGCAGCATCACGACTTCTTGTTGCAAGGCCTCAGCCAAGACTTCCAGACGCCTTGTTGACTAAAGACGGTGAGTAAAAAGTCAAAGGGTAGGGAGTTACCTTGCGCAGGTTTTCATTGATACACTCGACCTCTGCAGCCTAAAACAGGAAATGTCAGCACTTCCTGCAGCATAAATCTCAGCCTGAACGACTGAAAGTACGGCCGGGCAGCGGGGCAGTCGAAAGGTGCAAGTAAACTGGACCACATGTTGCAGAAACCTGCCACTGAAGAGTTGTGTAGACAAGACCCTAAAAATACAAATGTCTCCCCTGCATGTCTGCAAGGCCCCATGAAAGCGCATTACTTATTTTCCATTTCATTCCAAGTACACTGGGTATACTGACGAGATTTGAGGTTCTATTTTTTGGATAACACTCTTTGGCAGTTTATATGCTTGCATTGGAAGCACAATTTACTCACATCCAAATTCTGCGCTAACTGTCCTCCGGCAACCCGTCAACTCCCACCTTATGACGATCGATCCAGGAGTATGAGGCATTGAAAGAAATGGACTCTGACAGGAAAGTTGTCAGCGAGCAAGTACTTACAGAGGAAACAAAAAAATCACGAGCACCTGCCTAACCGTCATCTGATCGACTAGACCCGAATTCACAGTCCAGGTCTTACCTGCCCGATGTTGTTGCGTATGCACCAATTGACGAAGCTGCGCGGGTAGCCACTTGCTACGAACACCCGTGAAAGGTGTTTTGATTTGACGGCCTTATCTTCCGGCTCACTGCAGTGCGTCTCGGCACACCCGTATAGCGCTCTTACGCAACCGCATATGCAGCCGATTGAGTGATTGTCGTCGAATTTCAGTACTTACATAGTATTTGTCGCTTTTTTAAACACTGTAGCCTTTAGGCTATCATAAGCGTTGCGTCTGCCGCAAAGCTTCTACACTGATCGACGAAACTAGTAATTTCGTTTGCACTCCTGAGGAAAGCCGACAGAACGCAAACGCGCGGACTAATTAATAGTCTGGGTCAATTACCCATACAATCGAATCTCACCCCGCGTCTCCCTGACCGGATGTCAGAGCATGCACAACTAAAGACTAAACAAGTAAGTCAACAGCTGTCATTTCAGCCTCCTTTATCCTTGTTAATATAATTGCTCAATGGAAAAATAACTGAAACACGATGCGTAAGGCAAGGGAACTGCGGAACAGCCGAGTTCGAAAGAGGGCGGAATAATTTTTGTGGTCGAGGTACAGAAAAGGCTGGACAAATTACTCTAACCTTAGTATCCTCCTCAAGGACTGATAACTTCAACCTCAGCGAATTAATGTATGTTTCTTGTTCTTCTCTTTGAGAGACCTGAAGTTCGTGTCGCGCCAAGCCTCTACCACATTTACCTGGTATAGCACGAGTTCATTCACCTCCTTCCGACAGCGATCAATCTTCACTTCGAGTCTCTGTATCTTCTTGCGAAGACCTTTCGGATTGTCTGGGTAACTATAAGTAACCGTGCTTGCCTGAGAGGACCTTCTCAGCGCTGGCTTTTCTAGAAGTAGTGTCGAGTCTAATAGCTTCTTCCCAGCCCTCAAAAAATAATTCAGTGCTGGGGCCCTTGCTTGTATGAAAGAGATAGGAATCCATTCTCGAACTACAAACCTTGTGTACCATTTGAGCGTCCTTCAAACCAAGTATGCTGGCTGGCTGGAGGTGGCCGCCACTCGGCATCTAAATGGCTGGTAGTGGTCACTCTGACGAATGGTGAGTCTATGCCTTGTAGGCGACAGCAGAGCTGGCACACACTATGCCGTCTGAAATTCAGTCGTTTAAGAAATATGATGGCGAAACCCTGTGACAAGAGTTGACTTGTAAATGCTAAATCTGACCTTGACCTCATCAGATCTAGACGGTTTTTGAAGGTGAGCAGTCGAAAAATGAGTAACCAGGGCGAAATCAACTGGCATACGCTCGAATTACACTTCTATCCAAATAGGGTGACAAGTGCCACAGATAGGTTTTCCCTCTTTTAACTTGCCTATGCGTGTGTTGCAAATGAGAGGCGTACGATTCAGGGCGAATTGAGTTAGTTTGAAAGATTCTACTACACTACCGGACGGTTGGAAAAGGGCCGCAAGTGCACGAGCTATTTTGCGGAGACAATTTAAGAAGTTTGTAGGGTAATTGCTTTACCATGGGTCCCACGTTTCTAGACTGACTAGACAGAACGAGAATTAAGCACAATTTTTCACGTCGTGCGCTAGATTCGGAATAAATGCTCCACTTTCCGATGTTTAGATCGGTGGACTAGGCCTCTATAGGGCGCCATTTGTTTACGAAACGCCGTCGGCAAAGAGTGCTCATTAAGAAGTCAAACTTTCGTGCCCGAATTCCATGCGAGACTTATATCGACCCCAAAACCTCAAAGTACAGGTCATACTCGAGAACAAAATGCAAGGTGTCGAGTTCAAGGAAGTCAGTGGACCGGTATGCATCACAATGAGGGCTCCAAAAGCCAAGCTGGATAAAAACTAAAATTGACTACGTCCACAGGGTCCCACCGGTTTGTGTGATCTCCGGGCGAGCTTAAATTCTCAAGCTAGTGGAGGGAGGACGATTTTTGATTATCTATCGTTACGCCGATGAAACTGATTCCTTGATTACCGTAGAGACTCGCAGTGCCGCATCTGACCTGAGACAACCAATAAGGCAGTGCCAACGAAATCAATTAATACACCAGTGCCGTGAAAAAAAACTTAAGGGCTGACCACATGTTTGGCGGAACGCATACGCGTCAGTGAGATGGTTGTCATGGCTAAGTGCTACGAATATCCGATCGGCGCCGCCGAACATCTATGGGTCAAATACGAGGCAATACACCCAACCTAGTAATGCCAGTGGCCCTAAGACACCCTCGTCGAGTGTCCAAGTCAGTTAATAAATAAGTGGAGCCAAAAAGTGCCTTGAAGATGCCTGGAATAAATGGGAGGAAGTCAGGATAAAATGTATCTCTAAACGACAGCATGTTAGGCGTGGCACATCCGTCTGATCTAAAGATTAGAACCAATACTTAAAAATGATTAACTTTGTTGCAAACTGTAAAATAGCCATCGTACTACAAACCCTGTGGAACTCGAGCTAATAGACATTTTGAGTTAAAAGTATGAATCGAGTTTCACATAGGTACTGGAGACTAAAAAAGGCACCCATATGTACATCTGCAGAAAAATCTGCTACTAGAAAGGCATGACGGCTGGCAACGGGTTGCATGAAGCAGTGAAAGATAAAGACGGAGTCACGCACTGTTTCAAAAAAATTATATACATAATAATACAAAGAGAATCTTCACAATCTACAGACATCACTTCCGACGCCGTTCGTGCCACTCCTTGTATTTGGATTCTGCACAGTTTATCATTGACTCTAAGTGGGCAGTAACCCGAGATCGGTACCGGTTAGTTGAACACGCGCTCTTGTTCGCTGGGGAGGAAGTGCTCGGCTCAACAATCACACCCGGAGATTCCAGTGATGTAATAAAAGGATACAATTTGGTGGATTTAAAGCGATTGAGACTCTCGCTTATGCGATCTAGTTTTGCGCCCAGCTGGGGACTGGTGACGGGGAAACAAGCCCAAAAGTGGCGGAGCAGTTCACCGGCGCTTGCATAAAGCAGCGCAAGCTCCTTTGACTGATCAGGGGAGAGAAGGACGACTGAGTGGTTGTGCTGGGGGGCTGCAGAGACGGCGTCACCAACAGTGGAACCGGCCGTTCCATTGCTGGAAGCTCCTGCAGAAGCGCGTGAGTCTACCTTCCAGTCCGCTTGCTCACGCACAGTGGACCTCCCACCCATCAAAAAACCACCAGCCGAAACGTCGGCAATGGCTAGTTGGGCGTTGTAGTCCGAGCATACACTAGGCGAACCTCGTCGAGCCATTCTGATAGAAGCGAGACAAGCGAGAAGAGCCTGTTTTGCCTGGTTGGAATTAAGGCCGCTTTTGAAAGAGGCACTGCCAGGACCTCCGTTCAGCTGCACTCCACTCACGGATTTTAACTGAGCGACAGTTGGTCCCTCAAAATAGTCTGCGGTATTTTCCAAATGCAAAGAAATCGCTGCATCTGGCGTTTCGTCGCGCAATTCCGTACGAAATATGCGTTCCTTGAGATGACCACTGGAAGCAAGTTCTTTGTAGGATGCCTCGTGACGAGCGGAGTCCACGTGATTTGCTGGATGTTGGCCGGGAGGGTCAACCGAACAAAGAGATCGCAAAATCATAATCGAGTGCATATTAAACCGGCGGAGAAGTAGCTGATTGGTGGAGAGCTTCTGGTCAGCGACATTCGACGTCACCGGAGTTGATGCAATAGGCGCGATGTCAGTGACTGCAGGATCGGTCCCATAACCCTGGAAGGCGTTCTTGTCCTCCAACTCACCTACGTTGAGGTGGGTCGATAAACGCATTCGACGGGACTTGCGAAGTTCACTTTGTAGAATGCGCTCATCCTGCGCTGCACACTCGCCAAAAACGTCGTCCTGTTTAATCTGGACCCGGTCTCTATAAGGAAGAAATAAAAATATGTGTAATCGGGATTTAGCGAGGACCCTGGTATAAATTTACATCATGGGCTCTGCGGTACAAAAAGCCTAATCAAACAATCAAATACATCAGCGATGGGATTTAACTCGGTCATAAGTAAACGATCTGGACATTAGAGGTGAACAAACCTGTGGAAGTAGTGAGATTGAAAAAACTTCTTCCAAAAGTCAGCCTGAGATAACTTATCGGGAACGAGCTCACGATGCCTTTGACGTACCGTGGGATAGGCACGGAAAATGGCATCAATTGTTTCCTGAGTGAGGTTGTATTTTATGCTATTTACACCATCCACTTCCGGCTTGATGTCGCTGAGAAGAAAACTTGGTACACCCGGTGTCTGAGTTCGTTCCTGCAAACGATAACTTGTGAGAGCCTGTGATTTGCCGGCAGCATCTGTTTGACCCTGTTTTTCGCCAGCTTTCGCGTTAGACGTCGACGGTGAGGATTCTGAAGATTTTTGCGGAAACTCCGGACGAGCCCAAAACTCCTCGGAACTGAGGATACCGGTCACTACTAGTTCCTTGTAAAGGGCCAAAAGCTGAGGGTTTGATTCCAAAAGGCGAAACTTTTCGTTTAGCTCGGAGTGTGCCTAGACGGAAGAAGGAAAATCTATAAACTTCGTACAACACGGAAATACCGGGCAAGATGGCAAATAGGAAGTTCAAAATGCTTAGTAGGTCTAGGAGGCACAAATTACGCATGCAGAAATTTCCTTGGACAGTGTTAGACAATGTGCCATTTTTCATGCTGGTAAGTGCTACTTCCTGATTGGCGTGTACCGGTGACTACATTGTGAGGGACAAATGACCGGAAGACAATTCGCCATATTACCGGCCATGCCGAGCAAAAGTTGTGGTCCGGCGTGGATGCATCTACACGCAGATTGCACCGCCAAGTCTTATTATCGTCAATACTGACTGCTCGTGGGGATGCACAAGGAGTCGGGTAGAATAGCTGTCATATGTGACTGCCAAAGACTGAGACCGGATAAACAAGCTCAAGGGTTAGGGCGTCCACCCTAAGTTCCCAGCATATTACTGACACGAAAACAGACCTATGCGCCGGCATGCCTATGACTGCTGCGAGCTAGCAACATGCTGGGGCATGGCTGTCCGGGCATACTTCAGGCCATAAAAGAAATGGACCACATATAAAGCAGCAGAATTCTGCTTACTACGGACAAGTGTTATACACCTCAGTAACTCGGAGCACAATGGCGAACACTTACTTTATCCTTAAATTTTGGTAATAAATGTTGGAGCATCTCCTTAACGCGATTCCGCATTTCCAGCTGCTTCTCTCGACCGATTGGATCCGAAAATTGGAACGTGAAAGATTCATTATTGTGCATTAACAGTTGGAGTTGAACCTTCTCTTTTTGATCAGGACTGACACGTTGAAGTCGAATGTCTTCGAACGGTGCACTGATTCGAAAGGTGTCCGACGTCTGATTGCGCCAAGCGACACGACCAGAATTTACATACAGCGTGCCGTCAACCTTTTTATACTTAACATGCTTAACCATGAGGCGGACGTCCTCCTTCTGCTTTGACATTGTGCACAATGGGGCGTTAGCACTGGTATTGAAATTCCCGCCAACGATTTTCCAAATTGGAAACTCAAATATGACTAAAGTCAAAATTCCAATGTAGCTTGAGGTTCATACGGGGAGCATCCAGACTCCAAATCATTTCGTACCTTTCTGCAAAAATGTGCATTGGTGTGAACTTAACGTCAAAAAATCGTTTCCTTAGTTAAAAACAAGGATAAACTTAAAAACGATAAACGATAAACTTAAAACAAGACAGGCGTGACATGGGGCAAAACCGTTGTAAAGGGAAAGACGTGCACAAAAAGTAGTCCTTAAGTTAGACTGAGGTTACGCTAGGGTGAACTGTTTTGAAGTCGAAAATGCATAGGCGACGCTCATTGCTAACAAATTTATGGAAGCTAAAGCTACCTCCTTCGGCAAAAATTTATATGACCCACCAACTTGATGTCAAGAACCCACACTTTCAGACTCCATTTGGTTATTTAATGAACGGATTTATGCATCCTCAAATATCTATGCAGGACTCAATTATAAAAGCTGAGTTCGCGTCTGTGAGCAGTATTTGAGATGTAGTTTATATCACGCAAATGTCAAAAATACGGATAAGGTGCCTTTGAGTCTTGACGATCATCAGACTACTGTGCGTCACTAATAGCATTCTTGCAGCTCTCGATTACGATGGCTTAGTGAAAGCTTCGTTCGTTTCCACTGGGAATTTTAAATACGATAGGTTTTTTATAGCTCCTACTGGGCGCTGTCACTCACTTCAGAACACGTGAAAAACCTTTTCGGCTGCATTTTTGCTACATTTGTTTTGCGTGTGTGCCTGGTAAACAGTGAGCGAGTTGAGGGTTTGCTTTGCATGTAAATAAGCTTAATTTCATGGCTTGATAATAAGAGAAAAGAGAAAGGTCGGCGAGATATGCAAGATAGGAATTTAATTTTCGTCTTTAGTTGTTTTAGGGACGGAAATATTTCATCTTCCTTTAATGGTGGAGAATTTGATTCAGATGTAACGCCCCGTGGCGCGAACAGAATCTTTTGAATGTCATGAAACTTTTGGCGCGCACCCCGGATGGGATGGTGTAACTGCGTGCTGGTGAAGACGGCCGGTGTCCCTTCCTCTCGCTCTCGCCGACACCCCCCTCCGGCAACACACTCTCGTTCTCGTCTCTCCCCCTCTCGACGTTGGCCCACACGTCGGTCCCTCCCTACAGTTGCCCACAGCGCTGCATCCCCACCGGCTGTTTAGCTAGTATGTCAGTGTTACCTATCCATCCAGAAAGGTCACTTATTTGCTGTTTCTCGTTGAACATTAATAATTGTTATATATATTCTGCATATCATGTTGTTCTATTACACTATATCCATACTCGACGTACTCCCTTCTTCTACGTGTGGACGAGTTTCGAGAGATGTTAGCAGTTCTGTTCAGGTCTACCTGCGCCAGGATCTCTTCTCGGCGTCTCCTTACTCCGGTGTGTGCTACCCTTGACGTCCTCGGCCGCTACACAGGCAGCGTTTGAAACAGCTGCGGGCTAATTAATTTTCAGTTTAGCTTAACGAGGGAAAATAGGCGTTAACTTTTGAGTAAGCCAGTTAAAGTCAGTTGATTAAGTGGATGAAGACATCACACTTGAGCTCCCTATTCACATCCAAAAACAACAATAGAATCACACTAGTAGTTCTGGACATTTATAAGTGACTGGCATGTGTGAGCCGGGCGCAAATTGCCGCCACCGACATAGTATTTTCTCAGTAAATGAGCGTCCAGTCTGCTTTTAAAAGATTCGTAAAGAAGCACTGCGTCTGGGAGTCTGTTCAATGCTCCGATGATCCTCTGCAAGAAAGCGTTCCATTGGACGTCTGTATGAGCCAGCATCCTCTGTTATTTGAAGGAATGGTCACGCAGACGGTCAGTCTCAGCCAATTTAAAGAAGGCGTCAAATTCTAGGACACAATCACGGCTTCTGACAATTCGGTAGGTTCGAGTGAGTTCGCCGCGCAGCTGCCTGTAATTGAGAGGAAACTGGTTAAGTCCAGCCAGCCTGGCCTCGTAATGCAGATGATCAAGATTCTTGGCCATCATCGTAGCTTTCACCTGTATTCTTCCCAGCTGTTGATAATCCTTCTTCAACAAGAGTCGCCAAGCCAGGACAGCATACTCTACGCGAGACCGAACGAGTGCTCCGTAGGTTTTTCCGAACAGCTGCTTATCTATCTACACATATCCTCGCGTTAGCGCAAATTACACCCTATCAGGCGTTTGGCTGACCTTAGAAACACTGACGATGGTTTAAGGGAGAAGGTCATTGTGTCGCCAAGGTCTTTTTGTTCTTTACTATTTACAATGGACTGCCTATCAAGGAGATATCGAGAGGAATCATCTTGCTTACTGGTCGTTCTGGCGCGGAGTCTCAGGGCCCCATAGTTTTCCACATCAAAATTTGACAGCCGACGATATGACCAACTGCTAAATCGGTTAAGAGTCTCTTGAAGTTCGTGCCTGTCCGCGTCAGATCTGATGGCTCCCCACAGTTTGAACTCGCCGGCAAACATGACGGCGCTGCATCCCAGATCGTCGACACAGTCGTCCATTTTAAGTAAGAATAACAACAGCCCTAAGACTGAGCCCTGGGACACCACTTAGAACCGTGGTAGAAATTGACTTCAAGGCATCAACACCCACGGTTTTGATCTTCCTGTAGGAAAACTTGTGATCCTCTTCAAAAGCTCTCCTCTTATTCAAATTTAAGGCGGTTTGTAGATTAGGCGTTTGTGTGGGACGCTGTCGGACGCCTCATTGAAGTCCGTGTGGATGACATCGGCCATACCGTCCTCGTCCAGTGCGCGTGTCCGCTGTTCGATTAAAAGCAAGAGACTGGAAATGCATGAATGGTGCTGTCTGAAACCGTGCTGAAGTCCTGAGAGTAAGTTGTTCTGCTCCAGGAATTTAATTGTTTCAATCATAAGTATGGTTTTGCATTACCTTACAGCAGATGCAGGTAAGACTAGCGGGCCGGTAATTTCTAGCACTGGTGCGAGCTCCACCCTTGTATATCGGAAAGATACTTGCTCTCTTCTATTTGGTTGTAAGCTTCCCTTACTGGAACTACGAGTGGGTGATGTGTGCTAATGGTTTGGAGAGTTCGTTCGCCAATTCTCTCAAGAATTTTGCCAAAATATTGTCCGGACCCGACGACTTTTATTCTTTGAGATTCTGTAGCTCTCTGTTTACGACATATATTTGAAAGAGTATGGATTTAAGCATGGGGCCAGAGGTCTCAACAGCATTGAGACTCCGAAACTCCTTTTCCCTGGTGAGAGCCGAGGCAAATTTCCGTCCCTAGTGTTTGACTTTCTTGCCGTTTTCAACGATTTCTACACCATTATCATTCTTTAGCACTGCGAAGGAGTCCTTGTTTGTTAGTTGACTCTTAATATAGTGGAACAAAATTTCAGGCTTTTGTTCAACCTATCAGACAATTCTGGATTCATACTCCTTCCGTGACTGACGGACGCGTTTTCTGACTGCATTTCGCTGACAATGAAACTCCTTTAGGTGCACTAGTGACCAAGGTTATCTGAATGTCCTCCATGTCTTACTTTCCGCCCTTTGACACTCTATCCTGGTCTCTGGTTAACCAGGCAGGGCGATTGGTCGTTTTTTGTATGTCCTCTGGACAACCACGGACTTAGGTCGGGTGAAATCGTCCTAAACTTTCCACAGTCGTCCTCCGGATCTCCCTTGGGCAACTGGTCCCAGTTCACGGACGTCGATTCCTCCTTCATTGTGTTAAAATCTGTCTTCCATATATTAGGTTGGCCTTCTGTTCTCTTCTGTCGTTGAGGGAAGAGCGAATAATCCCCAAATATCGTGATATTTTCACACTTTCCGAGAGGTGCATTGGAATAGACTTTGTCAATCTTAGAGAAGACTTTCATAAGAACTAAGCCCAAACAACTGACTCTCTGGTTTTCTCTAAATCTCGTTGATGTCTTCACTTGCAGTGCCACAGGGAGGTCAAGTGTGAGGTCCATCAGATTACAGCTGAAGAAAGTTAGTTCACCGTCCACTGTCAGGCGTTCCCTCTTAAGATGTAACGTGCGATTGGGGGAGTGTACAGAGAAACCATATTTACTAAGATTGTTCAAATGGGACAATAAAAGCACGATAATGTGGACTTGAATCTCAGGGTTTGATTTCAAGCGCTCACCGCTATTCTTTGCTTCGGAACAAAAATCTGTCAAGGTCCTTTTCAGAGCTTTTCATTGATGATGATATCACAATACGTGGACGTTTGATGGTTGCTGTTCCCTCGATATTTGCTAGTTGCCGGATTGACATTTTGTTGACAGTCACCTAAATCTATTCCCATTGTTCATTTGTCTCATCTGGATGGTTAGTAACAGTTAAATGGACAAGCAGGCATGCCCCTCAAACACGCCACGTGGTGGATGATTTCGATAAGCACAGAGACTAGATCCGGGTCCGGTAAGCGTTATCGGGAATGTATTCCCATAACAAATGGCAGCATTGGGGTACGGTGGCAGGCCCATAGGGAAGAGGAAGAGTGGCGTTGAAATCGATCTGACGACCTACGAAATCGGAAGAAATGGGCACTAGGACACATTTGCAAGATGCAGGGTGACATCAGGCTGCTGAAAACGGTCGAAGGCAAAACAAGGTTTCAAAGGTGTCCCTCAAAAATTCCTACTGGTGACTAAGACATCGCTAGTATAATCAGAGAAAGAAGAAAGTCTACGTAAACCGCGATCAGTCACATATCGGAAGGTGAATGAAGCATTCCGGAGAGCAAATGGCGAAGAAATTCGAAGAGGCCAAAAGGAGTTGTCATAACCGCTTTTGGAACGTCTTTAGGCACAATCGGAATCTAATGAAATGCCCGAACAAAGTCAGTCTTCAAGAAAACGGTTTATTTAAAGGGAACACCGTCGAATTCCTGAAAATGTGTAACCGGGTACCGATCGGATGTAGTGAT